GCAAACCATATTGGCAGCTCATTCGCCAGATCTAAATCCCCAAATTTTTATCTTTGAGGATTTCTCAATGCCAATGTGTATACTGACAGGCAATAACTACCCCAATATTTACCATCCACATTAATGTGTATAGGTCAGGGTCATTAATAACTTTGTTCGCAAGATTCATTTGTGCATAGAGAGGAGAAGTGCCCATTTTGAGCATTTTTTGTAAAGTAATGTAGTTTTTGGCACAATAAACATATTATCATCAAACTTTCGAAGCAAAATTCACATTGAATGAACTAAATAATTCTAAAATTTCAAGGCAAAATATGCAAAATTGACAGAGTTATTCAACTTTCTTATGGTCCTGCTTTTTTGGACATCCTAGTGTTCGTTGGGATTTCCTACCCTGTGGAGTTGCCAATTTCTAGTTGTAAATTGTGAATTGCAGGTTCTACAACATAACTCAGAACATCCCCAGATTCTGCAACAACATGTGTCAGAACATCCCAAGGTTCTACAACATAAGGTGGAGGATCACCAGGTTCTACAACAGGTGTCAGAACATCACTAGGTTCTACAACAACATGAGTCAGAACATCATCAGGTTCTTCAACAACATGAGTCAGAATATCCATCACTAGGTTCTACAACAACATGAGTCAGAACATCCCCAGGTTCTACAACATGAGCTAGAGGATCACCAGGTTCTACAACATGAGTCAGAACATCCCCAGGTTCTACAACAACATGTTTCAGAATATCCCCAGATTCTACAACAACAGGAGTCAGAACATCACTAGGTTCTACAACAACATGAGTCAGAACACATCATCAGGTTCTTCAACAACATGAGTCAGAATATCCATCACTAGGTTCTACAACAACATGAGTCAGAACATCCCCAGGTTCTACAACATGAGCTAGAGGATCACCAGGTTCTACAACATGAGTCAGAACATCCCCAGGTTCTACAACAACATGTGTCAGAATATCCCCAGATTCTACAACAACAGGAGTCAGAACATCACTAGGTTCTACAACAACATGAGTGAAACATCATCAGGTTCTACAACAACATTAGTCAGAATATCCATCACTAGGTTCTACAACAACATGAGTCAAAACATACCCAGGTTACAACATGAGTCAGAACATACCCAGATTCTACAACAACAGGAGCCAGAACATCATCAGGTTCTACAACAACATGAGTCAGAACATACCCAGGTTACAACATGAGTCAGAACATACCCAGATTCTACAACAGGAGCCAGAACATCATCAGGTTCTACAACAACATGAGTCAGAACATCAGCAAGAGGTTCTCAGGGGTTGTCAGTTCATGATAACAGAAGAACTACCACTTGATGTTGGAAGTATAATAACAAAACTGTATGACAGGGATGATTTTGAAGCTTTGTGTTTACAGATGAAGAAGCTCTCTACATGTTTGCTATGTGTTACAAGAAGAACACCTTCTCAAAATCATCTTCATGTTCATTGGGACAATGGCCTGGTAGTAGACAGGAAAATACTTTTGTCTACTTTGGTTGTGTGCAAGCTATTGAAATATTGATGAAATAGTGATCAGTAGAATTAATTAAGTAAATTGATCAAAAGTCTTTGAATTTATAGTACCTATGAAAACATATATTTGGTGAAAAATATCACTCTTGATAGCTAATGCATTTTTATAGTCTCAGACTGTTATTTAGATGGAAATCAGTGTTTGTTAAAAGGTTGCACTGAATGTGTGCAAACAATCTTTCGTAGAAATGCCTTGTTAACTTTATGTAAAGATATTCATTTGCAATAACTTTGTAAAGTACATGTAGTTGTTTGATAAGGGAAATCTTAAATGGATGAATTTTGGTGCCCCAATAAAAATGGTATAGAGTATAAGATTTCTGCTTGGGGAATTAACATGAATACTGTTATTTCAATACAGGATTTATCGTATAAAAAATTGGAGATTGGTTAACTCATTAGATTTGGAAGATCTTTAAGATATTCAATTAATGGTTCTTACACAGTGAACCTCTGAGATCAACAAGGCGTCTGTTGTTGGTAAACATTGGATTTCTTCTAAAAATTCAATAATTGAAGTAGCATTAAGCAGTTCTGGTGTTTATTGTATTTTTGAGTTTTTGAGTGCTTTCATTTTTATGGGGTAATTGCAATATTCATTATGTAGGCATTTTAGTTTATGTGGTGTTATTACCATATTCTCTTAATAAATCCACAGTGTGGTTTCCAAATTTAAATTTAAAAGTGTATGATGTTGAGAAAAATATCGACGATGATCCTTTTAGTTGTGATCACTTAGGTTCTCATACTCTACAGCTACTATTTTTATCTGCATTAAACATGTTGAAAATCATCAATCAATATAATATATCAATCAGTTCTGTTAATCCAAATCAATGTGTTAATATTGAGACAAAATTCAATAAAATAGTCACATTTGCCTCATTGGAATTGTGCGCTCATTAGATAATATGGTATATTGTTTTAGTGAACACCTCTCTTAGTTAGCACCACTTCAGATACATTTCACATCGAATCCTGTATATCATGCCCTCGATAGTTAGAAAATACCTATAGTGGACACTTTTTGTGGCTCAATAGGTGTTCACTATTTACAGGTTTTACTGTATTTGAATTTATTGGAGTATATGTAAATGCGATAGGTCTTTATTTGTGATCGATGTACAATGCACTTGATGTTTCAATACTAAATGCATACATTTTTGGCTTTTGCAAAATATATGTTGTCACTAGTCCACAGTAGGGTGAACTGGAATTAGCCACACCCAAAAATGGAGATAAAGTTTGTTAATGTTCAGGATTGAAGTGAGTCAACAGGTATATGCATAATTATAATACTTTATAAATCGCTTGATAAAATGAATAGTCACATGGGTTGACTTTGAAATGGCATATGTAAATAGTTCTTTGCAATAGAAATAAATGAATTGTACATCAAACTTTCTTGATTAGTTTGTTTGGTCCAGACTTGAATACAGCATCAACTCCAAATACCTCAATGTAGTTCAAGGCCAGCTATTATCAGAAACTATAACATTAATTAAAACCTCATCTAGTCCCAAATACCTTCGAACACGTAAACTTGAAGACATAAGGACCCTAACTCCTATAGCTATAGCCAATTCACTTTTGAATTTTGAGAATAATGTTTAATTCTAATTTGAGAGCCTTTATCGACATGGATTCAAACTGGCAGAAAGGTAAAAGGTCGGGCAATTTATCCGATTCATGAATACCAAAGGATGCTACATCCCGGGTTTAGAGTATTTTGCATTTCGTTCAGATTATGGCGCCTCTACCGTCAAAAGTTAAAATAGCACTGGTTTCGAGACTATTTTAGTACGTGTCCACTTGAACCACTTGAAAACGTGTTCAGAATGGTGAGAAACTGCATGGTTTTGAAAGAATTTTTGCAATGGTAGAGGGTCCTGGCTACGGGCCTGTTAATGGTAGATCCAAACTGATAACATGGTCATATGGGTGTCCTATATCCATAAATACTCTGATAGGACGCCGTGCCCCGGGGTTTTCCGATCGTTTCGTTCAGTAAATAGCACTGGTTGCGAGACTATTCTAGCACGGGTTTCGAAAGCTATTGGCACGGGTTTCGAGAGCTAACAGCACGGGTGCTAAAAACCCGGGTTCTGTCAATGTTTGCCATCGACCCTTTCTCCTAATTTGGGCCAAAATTGTCAAATGTGAACCCCCCCCCCTTGGCAAATCCTGGCTACGGGCCTGCTAAGTATGTACAATCCATTCAAAATCTAGATCGTAAATTAATGTAGGCATGAACAATGTTACGATGTAACCAAGTCATTGTGTCGGATGTCTCAATTGCAATTATTTTATTGTAAGATTTTCCTAGGGTTTTCTAATGGAGGGGGTCCTGAAATACCAATCAAATAAAACTGGAAGGAGATTGAAATTTCACAATTTGACATAATATCATGCATTGACCAATGGGCAAAAATGAAATGGAACCTTTATTCCATCCATTTTAACTTTTTTGATTTGTTTGCCACGTATTATATCTTCGATACTTTCAAGGGTTGCCTTTGGTGTGATCATCACCGTAAAACGTATTCATTTTTCCCACCCTGTATCCATGCCGTATATACCCCGCCGTCTGCCCCAAAGTATTCACACGGTGGGCAAACGGAGAATTCGAACCCATACGGCCTAAGTATGACAGCTCCATAAATTAAACGAACACTTACTGATTAGGCATGTATTATCAGTTTGTTTTGGATTAAAACATACTTATACGAGCACTTCAAACAACTAATGGACGACAGGTGAATGATTAAAGTAAATAAATATATATTTATACTTCTGGTATACATGTACTTCCATGGGCGTAGCCAGGCATATTGCAGATATTTTTTCAATGGGACCATGAAATGAAGTCTTATTATAGGCTATTTAGTAATTTATTGCTTTTAACTCAGTTATTGCCTCGACATTATTAAATTTTCCTCTATTTTTGAATCCCTTCTCACCCCTGACTGACAAAAATAATTAAAGGAAAGGTTAAAGATGTTTGACAACTTTATTTTCAGTTTAATGAATTTATATACTGTAGGCCCAGCCTAACACGGATTATAAAAGTTTATGAGTGGACTACGAGATATACAGGAGGGATCAAAACATTCTGATTCATTCAAGTCATGGGCTTTCTAAAAGTCCTTAATCGTGCTGTCCGAGACAATGGGGAGTTTAAGCTTGCATATAAAATCGAAACGACAACCTATACGTATGACCAAACGCCCATACCAATGCATCGCATAAATATTTCCCGTTCACGTTTAGGTTGTGAAAAACATTGCAAGCTTAAACTCCCTAATATTGCCTACAGACAGTGATGATTCCATTATGTATGATAACGTTGTGGGATCCACATCCTGTCTATCTGTCTCTTGGAGTAGGCTATAAGCTGTGGTTCTGAGTGATTTGAATGTGAGAAGTTTGCTGCAGGCAGTTTTCTATACCGAGTGAACGAAGATGGTATTGTTAGACTTTTACAGGAATGGATATGATGACATGTTGTATCTGTCAGACTCCCCCTTTTTTATTCATTTATATGTCTACTTTGTGTTCCATACATTACATTTGTTTTTTGTTATGCCCTTTTATGCCACAATTCCCAAATCCGTCCCAATTCTGCTTTTAGCTATAGCTAGTCCAGTGAAGTAAACTATTCCAATATAAGAGATATATAGGCTTAATATTATAAAAGGTTCACTTCGGAAATACATACGATCATATCTCTTTTGGCGAAAGAACCAAATTTAGACAATCCATTTTTGGTATCGGATGACAACCTTGCTTTCGAGTCATTGTAAAGTTTTATGTTTTTCATGAAACGCTCGAACAGGGTCTACACCTGGGCTAGTCCCGGTCGATTGCCATGCCCCCTGCAAACTGTGAACACTCGTTGGATACTTGGGCAAGACTGCAAAACGGACAGAAGATGGTGAGTATCGCATCCCCTATACAGCTACCCGGGATGCCCTGCCGCTCTCTCACTTTTGACCTGTTCGACGTAATGAAAATGCAGTTGGCAATGGGAACGAAAAACATCAGACAGCAACAGCAACAACTATCGCCAACAGCCTCGGCGTTCTTGCCGAACTGATAACAAGGAACGAGGAACGCGAGGATGCACGTCCCGCAGTTGCCCAGACAGCCGCATAATCCATGATTCCACTCAGACATAATGATATACTCGTTATTATTCTTGGATCAAATTATAACCGTTAATTGCCTTAGTTTGTTGTGGGCTTCTCGACAGTGCTTATCAAACTTCGCTTCTTTTCAGTTCCCTACTTGATTGCTTGCTAGCTCGATTGATTAAAAGATTCATACACTGAATGTTATCAGATAATTCATCAAGTCATAAATAAATGTCTGAAGCCAGGCCAAGGGTGGCAAATGATCGTAACATTCATTTACGAGATAAAAATACGAGTTATGAGTTATCTATTAACTAAAAATCAATTGAACGTCATGGCAAATTTGGGCTGTGAAGGGAGCAGTAGTATTAGGTACGGTGTTTTGCGAAGTATGATAAATTGCTGTTGTTTTGGGTTTGGCAACCTCAAACCTCAATCTTCCTACGCTGGGTCCAAAGTTTTAATCATTGATAATAATTAGAACTAATTTATCATTTAAAACGGTTTAATCGCTCTCATAAAGATATAAGCCTATTTATCAACACAGAACATTATGATCAGACTTTGGTGAGCGTCTAGTTTAGTTATAAGCTCTCTTTAAGAAGCGAAGTCGAACGAGAGCAAATGGTATAATATTCCTGTAATCCCCAATCTTTACGATTTTGATTTCCATCGATTATTTATATTGTATCGTCTGTGCATTAAGGAAGTTACTCAATGGGTAACTTGTCATTTTCGAATTCTGCTTTTTGCATTCCGTCGTGGTAGAGTCAAGAGTCTTGGTCTGATCTGAGTCTCTAGAAGCTCCACGGTTAAAGTCAATTCTTTAATTAAGGTTAAAAACAATTCCACCAAGATTTGGACGCATAGAGTCAGCCGACGCCAACGAGTGTATTATTTTTTAAGAAAATGTCGAATTTGCTGAGACATTGATATACTAGCTATAGTAACGTGTTTATTATATGTGCCAAGCATGTTTGCCATGGTGCCAAAACTATTAAAGCAGATTGTAAAATACTAGTAGTATTGTGTCTTCCAAACGAACGTCCACGATGATTTAAAGCTTGGTCTAGCTCCGATCAACAGCCATACTTCCAGCAAACTGTGAACATTCATTGCCCACCTGGGCGAGACTGCATGGAGCACAGAAAATGCTGAGCAAGAGATCTCCTATGCAGCCACCCGGGATACCCTGGCGTTCCCTCACCTTCGATCTATTGGACGACATAAAGATGCAATTGGCAATGGGGACGAAAGTCATCAGACAGCAACAGCAGCAACTATCACCAACAGCCTCGGCATTCTTGCCGAACTGATAACAAGGAACGAGGAACGCAAGGATGCATGTCCCGCAGTTGGCTAGACAGCCACAAAGTCCATGATTCCATTCGGCAGACATTTTGATGATCAACAAATGTCCCTGTACTAGGATAGAAACAAACTATTTCCAGGCAAGATTCAATTCTATCTCGAGTTACTATAATGCAGCTTGTTTGGAAATTCAAATAACTTGAATGAATAATCAGTCGCAATCATAAAGATATGGTCGCCAGGTTGCCAAGCATGTGGTAATTGATTGTGTCACACATTTGTATTCACAATACTAGATTAGTAATTCTTTGTTACTTATTAACAAATGAATTAATCGGTTAGTTAACAATATCATACTTTGTTGGTATATATTGATATTCATTTTATTTATCTTGAACTTGACAGTTAGTATGATTGTCATTGTGTAACTTTTAATGGATAATTGGAGCGGTAACAGTTACCTCTTTGAAATAGAGCTTCATATAGTAATAACTGCTAGCACTATTAGTCTTGAAGACACTGTAGGTAACAGTTAAGTGCTGCCTGCTGAATGAAAACGGGACTGTACTGTTGGAAGAATGAGGTACATGTGTATAGATCTGATGTTTCTAAAAAAGAAAATCCTTCTTTTGTTATTCCCAAAAACTTTTTACAAATATCTATACACTTTGCCAATAAGGACTCTATCAGTAGAAAAGCTATGAATATAAATTTTTGACTTTCCAGTTTTCGTGCATCGAACCCCGTATTGTATCATTTATATTTATTGTTTCAAAGCTGATATTTAGTCGGGATGGGAGATATAGTTCCTCGGTTTTTCATAACATGACATTGCCTTAGTTTTTTTCATATTTCTACTTAGTGTCTTGACAAACTATATTCAGTCCACAATATTCAAGGTGTTACACGGGGATCAGTATTAAGTCCTTTTTTATTTGTAACAAAATCAATTAACGAAATAAATAGTTTGGTTAAAATCCTTTTATTGTCTCAAATGTTGATACAGACTATTTTATCCTAATTTTGTATTTTGAGTAATTTTCTTTCTTCTGTGGGCTGTACGAATCATATGAATATCGGCCTTAATCTGGAATAAGAATAAATTTGTAAATGTCTTTTGTAAAATTGTGTACATCATTTATTTGAAGAAGGCAAATGAGGCTATAATTTTTTCAGACATAATCATATGTTTTGGAACAAAATTAAATTCTTATGAAAAAAATTCCATCTTTCCTGAATAATTTTCATATTCTGTGTGAAAGTAAATATTGCCTTAGTATTTTTGTCCAAGTTCCTATACATTTACATGGTGGTTTAATTCGCCATATTAGTCTTTTTTTTTTTGTAAAAACTATATTTCAAGAATAAAACATATATACAATTATACATTACATTGTTTAATTTCTGTACAGTTTTTCTTTTTCAAAATAAGCAAGTATATTTCCAGTTTTTTCGATATTGAAGATTTGTATTGCCCTCCTGGCTATTAACACTTCTTTATAATTCTTATACTTATTAACTCCTATAATTTGTTCAAAAGTGATATTATCAAAAAATGTCCATATATCCCTTATTTTTGTACACTCATAAAAATTATGTCTAACATTGTCAATAACATTACAATTCTCGCAAAATGAGCTATCTCTAATTCTAAAACGATTTAAAATCTCATTACATGGATATATGTTATGTAATGTTTTCCAGTGAATAATTAAGAGTTTGGCATCTACTTTGCACTTGAAAGCTCTAAGCCAAGTTGCACATGAAATATCCTTACCATTATACTGTAAAATCAATTTTCTTTTATCTGTACATAGTTTTCTAAAATCTGATGTTTCATAAAATGTTATCTCTTTACCATTTAAATATAATTTGAAATCATCATCTGCTTTTACATTACCATAAAGTAATATTACATTTCTATTGATACAATTTGAAAGACCAATGTATTGTATTAGTGTCAAAGGATTCCTACCAATAATCATCATTGGCTATCATTGGTTACAATATCACTTACAAAATTCGCCATATTAGTCATTCAAAGTTATCAATTCAAACTTACGGAGACACTATTGCCTGGGACAAAGATGTTCTCTTTTTCATTCTACTTAAGCACATCATCACGAAAACATAATTTCTATGATGCAGCGAAACAAGATGACTTACTTAAGTTTACATGCCTCTGCAGAGGTTCTTGTCGGAGTGCTGTGTGCATGGTTTGTAGATAGGGACCTTGCATACGTATTTCCATCCGTGGAAGAGGTCTGGTCTGATTCCGTTCCATGTACCAGCTGGGCAAGAACGCCTATTGGAAGACATGTACATTGTATATAATATGTAACAAGATTCATTTTCCAGATTTTAGTTTCCTGAAGAAATCGATCTATGTTATCATTTTTATATTTCTAAATAATTGAGAAAGCATTCTAATCATTTCAATCTAGTATGTTTTAAACAAATGTAGACTATTAAGATAAAAAAAAGTATATGTAATATCCAATTATGCAACACAGGATTTAGCTATTCCATGGATATTTTGTTTAATAAACTAAAAAATTAAAAATTAAAAAATTAAATTTTCACTCAGCTCGAGAGCGTAATGCCTACTTAGTTTCAATGTTTCAATCTTAATCGTGTTCCCAAAAAGGTCGAACATTTATGACAACTATGAATCATTTAAAAGGATTGCCAAACTTTTAGAGGGGAGTGTACATACCAGTAAGTGACACCACCGGAGCAGTCAATGTATCCGCAGTATGGGTTCCATGGGTCCCAGTATGTCCCGTCTCTCAGGCTGAAACAGTAATCTACAACAACCCAAAACATAGCATTATGTGAAGTGGATGGGTATTACAGTATGCATTTTACACCGGTCAAAGGATTGGGAATGCGACATTATTTAGTCAAATTAAATACACCAGAGCCACCTGATGTTTTAAAAGAGAACCAATGACCGTTGAACCATGGGCATGATGGGTCGGAAATCTTAAAACCTGAATCAATTTATTTCTACGATCACATGCATATGATGTATTTGTTCAAACTAGATCACCCCAAACATATTGAGCAAAAATTATAAGCAAGTGACATCACGAACATCAAAATAAAAGAAACATATGAAAGAGAACAACACAATATGAGGCCGACGTCGAGACCAAAGGTTTAAACATTCATTTTCAACGATGATAATTTTATGTTTCAGAACATTCAATATTTCAAAATGACCAGTATTCCAAACAGAAACGTTACTTACCGTGGTTGTGGTTATCTGGGCATGGGTTGGACCGTCCATGAGCTGCATGGCTGCTGTATTGGCTGACAGCAAGGCCAACAAGGGCCATTAACACTATAGCTACACACTTGTACATCTTTCTTGTTGCTCTGTTCAATTTGTGGTCCAAAATGGACGATATTAATCAATTATATAATTGGATTCTAACTAATTGCATGTTGCGGGTTTAGAGGCTTGATTGTTTCAATTTTAGCTTCGGGGAATTTAGGATGGTAGGAAAGGGAAAGTGTTGGAAATGGACTAACTTTGGCTTAAATTGGATGATATCACTTCAATTTTGATTAGATATTTGATACGTTCCCAAAATTATTATTACCAGTGACTATGATTCAATATCCTGGCCCAAAATCTAGATGAATCGGAAAAGGACACGTAGAGGGGCACGAAGGAAAGATACACAGGAACTTGCCCATCTTGACTCATCAAAGTAATTATGACTGAAACGAACACATCGGAATACCCTGTGCGCAGAGTCTAGTTATAAACTACGAAGACGAAGCTCTCTCTTAAGAGGCGAAGTCGAACGAATGCAAAGGGTAACCGCGGAACACCTGGTATAGAGCAACTCCTCGAGTGGCAGAAAAGTGTTTTAGGAAGAACTGAGTCTTGCATCAGTTCTATTTGTTACTTTAGCCCTCATCATACACATATACCCATATTAGGGAATTGATAATACTGTAAGGTAAGCCAAAGGCTAATGTCAGAATTGGAGAATTACGGACGTTTACATTTGTATCAAATCGGTTCCCACGAGTCCATCTCAAGCTGTATCTAACCTCCTCTGTATGTGGCATTTTTGGCCTACATTTACATTGTTGAATTCCTGGATCGCCTTGTATATTAGTTTTGTTCTCGTTCTCAAGTGTCATATCAGAAGGTAACGATCGGTTCCTTCTCTCTCATATTAGCGGACTTAAACACTTTCCCCATGGACAATAAGCTTTAAGATATGAACTTGACAAAATATGTAACTTGTACATCATGATAAAGAAACTCCAACATTATACAGTATAGTTTCTATTAAGCTTTCCAACGGTACCAAGATTAGCCAGTAGCCTTTTGGAGGTTTATTCTCTTCAAATATTGCCGGCTGCTAAGCTTTAAGATATGAACTTGACAAAATATGTAACTTGTACATCATGATAAAGAAACTCCAACATTATACAGTATAGTTTCTATTAAGCTTTCCAACGGTACCAAGATTAGCCAGTAGCCTTTTGGAGGTTTATTCTCTTCAAAAATTGCCGGCTGCTACTCGTCTAATATCATATGTGGACGCAACCGTCGAACTATATGCTACCGCTTGAGGTGCGGTAACGTAAATTGCAAACGAAGTATTTACGTTACGTCCACATGATATAGGAACAATTTATTATGTTATCGAGTTTCTGAGTCATAGAAGCTTGGTGTGGTCGAAATGTCCACGACAAAGTGGTTTAATTCTATGAAAATTGAAAATATCGAAATCGGCAAAGAAGAAGTTAACATTCGTTACCTCCCTTGACACTGACCAATTATGGTTCTAGGCGTCGACTTTAAAATTGGTATCACAACAACGCAAGTGGATTAAATGTCATGTAACTTGTATTTTGTACATGTAAGCACAAATTGTAAAATGATAACAATTCATAGTGAAGTACATCATAAGTTTATTTATTCAAGAAGAAACGTATAACAAATATTATAAAAGATAAAGTAATGATTTCAAGATGAATTCAACAAAAGCAAATAGAGGTTCGTAGTTACATATGTAACTAGGTGATATGGCCAAAAAGTGAGCTGCATGAATAACTGCTCCGTTTTCAATACATGGTGGCCTTAATGTAGGTCTATTTTCATCATTCAAAAGTGGAGCAAAGCCAGTCACAGGGGACCTTTATCAATGACACAAAGTACATGGATAAAGTTTTCTTGAAATATCAGTTTCCGTTAATACGGCACATGATGTGGCCTGATTTAACAAATCTTTTGAATAAGCAATCTTTTTCTATGTCTCTATTGTATTTCCTTCGTCCTTATGTCAATTTTACGATTGTATTCAAAATGTGGTGATGTTCACTTCAAGTGTATACTGCAGTTTCTTCATGAGATTTGATGAGACGAACCATTGAGACCTGAAAATATACATTTAACATTAAACACACGTGTTCAATTAAACATGAATACTCTTTGGTAACTCTTGTCCCTTGTTTAAAAAAATATTCTCAAGTTTTAATTATGTATACAGTCGAACCTGTTTAATCCGAACGCCACTGACACATAGACCAAAACTATTCTTTTGTGGGACAGAGAAAAAGTGTTCAAATTGAGAGAAGTTCGGGTTTTTCTAAACACGTAATTAAATGAAATGAAAAAAGTGCACAACCGACGGTTGTATATGCAGTGCATCAATATAAATTATGATGAACATTGTTTTGTATAATATCTAACAGTATTTATGGTTTAATTGATATCTAAAGTGTAGATATGTCCAAAAATAGAAGTCATTCAATATTGAATGAAATTTAAAGATATTTTGTATTGAAGGCCCCCGATTAGATTTAGTTTTTCGATATTAGACACTCAAAATAGTTAAACACCCCAAAACACTGCATAATATATATCACTGACAAAATTATATTTTCGTACATTATCTCCACCTCTGTCTGATAATGATTTTCATCGATAACTGAACAAATATCAATTCTATAAATATTAGTTATTTTAGACGAATATTGAATTGGTCGTGTGGCAATAAGTACTTCACTACATACTAGTACACGATGACTCTAATTAGACACTACATCCTCTAATTAATGACACTCATCAAAACAGATATTGATTCGCCCCCGGCCATTAATTTTTTGATTAAATTTAAATGGAGTCTATTGGTATATGTAGGATTCTTATTTAACATCATGGAATTTCGTTTCTGTTTGGATACTGAACGTTTATAATATAGGATAATTCAAAATAAACTTTTGCTCAATTAATGTCAAGCTATTTTTCGGGATTTAAAACTCTAAATCAAAACTAATTAAACTGTTCATTAAAATATTTATTTCGTCAAACAATCAACATTTTAGGGCCTTAACATAGTTGAAATATAACAGTTTGTATATGGATATATAAAAAAACATATATGAATCACATCTCCCAATGTAAACAAGGGGTGCCAAGGTTGTCTCCACTAACTGATAGTGAATACAAATCATGTATGATACACTTTCATAGTATATTTCACTTTGGATCATTAAAACATATTTTAAGTGTCTTTGGGGTTTTGAATGTGTATACAATCGAAAGGCTGGGGAAGTATAACTTGAATAATGACTTATAATAAGATAGTTTTACCTGCCTTATCCGTAATGACCGAATCCACCATGACCTCCATGATGACCTCCATGATGTCCTCCATGGTGACCTCCATGACCATGACCTCCATAACCACCGTGGCCATGACCTCCGTGGTGACCTCCGTGGTGGCCTCCATGGTGACCGTGTCCACCGTGCCCGCCGTGTCCATATCCGCCGTGGCCGTGACCGTGCCCATGACCGTGGTGGCCATGGTGACCATGGCCGTAGTGGCGCACAAGGTTCACGCCGCAGAAGTCGCCATATTTGTAGTAGCTGCCATACGTGTAATGTGCGTTACCGTAGTTCTTGGTCCCCGGGGCACATTTCTGTACGTATGCATACCCGTGGGAGCAATGAGTGAAACTGTATGGGCCATTGTAATATATACCATCTGGCTTGCCACAGTGGCCTGCATAGAGAAATGAAAGAAAACAATGTATAAGTAAGCGTGTGTATTGCTTGGTTGAAGCTGTTTTGAGGTATCTACGGTGCAGTGCTTACGACGATTTCGATACAAAGGGACGTGTTATCAAAGCCGAAAGGCGATTTTAATGTAAGAAAAAATCGTTTAATCAAAACAATCTGATACCACAAGTACCCCTTATTTGCTAAATATTCCTGATCCATCTACGACCAATTCGCCATCTTTATTTCCTACTTGTATATATTTTGTTTGATTTGGCATTACAATATTGAGGAATATTTAATTTATGTTAGTATGACAGACAATAGTCGAGATCTAGGCAGAATACACACCAGGATATGAGCCCCTGTAATGCCCTCCACCACGTCCATGGTGGCCACCGTGGCCATAACCACCTGGGCTTGCTTCAGGGTCTGGATTGGGAGCACCATAGGCCACCAGGGCCAAGCCCAACACACAGCACACAACCTTGGCAATCATCAGACTTTAGTTGCTGAAACAGAAATAAAATTTAAGATTCATATGCTTATTTAAACAAAACAGAAAACAACGTGGTTTTATACCACGTCAGGGTGGAGCAAGTCTTAATCACGTTTGAAATGTGCGGAATACACCCGTCGGATTTTTATCACTAATAAAACTAATGAGGTGAACAGTAACATTCGATGTTTCCTACATCTTTCGTAATTTCTAAGGTTACATCCCTTTCATTAATTGGCAACTGAAAGTCCCCATTGGATGGCATGTTAAAACCCGTTTATATTTGAATTTCATTTCTAAATTAAAATAGGTACTAGGTCCGTCGGAACTTTGATGAGCAAGCAAAGTTTTCAATCATGATGTCATGTGACACTGTACATGTATATTCAAATGATTGACTCTATTTTCTTCTATGTGTTTTCTGTTAACTATATACATATATAGAGTAGGACATTCACTTATTGTTCGATTCTGGTATTATGAATGCCATCCTCATAACTTGTCTATTCGAAATGTACATAATTATGATTACCTATTTCTACTTTCAAAATGTCATACACTCAAAATCATAAGACATTAGTACTCAGAAGTGGTTTTATTGCGCCATGAACTCAAAATGCTTTTTTCGCCATTATCACTTTCAAGTTTCGGTACATTATCCACTCAAATTGATGCGTCACTTTCGTTTCAATGTGCCACTCAAAATCATCTACAGTCTTCACTTACCTTTCGTTGTTTCTCCAAATGTCCACTGTATCCAAAGAATAACTTGACGAATGCTGTTGATTATCTCTATACTTAAAGTAATTAACGATACAGTTGTTTTTATATGTTGAGGAACGCGGGGGAGCGCAGTGGCATCATCCCCTATGTCATTTTTCCATAAAATGTTATCACCTCTCGGGGCGAATCTAAAATTCCAAAACTGCAATTAAATAACGTGAATTATTTAGACTATTGAAAAAGGCTCCGTATACGGGGTGTTAGTTTATGGTCGACTCAGACAAGATCTTCAAAAGCCAGAGGGGTGGATAGTTACTCAATTCAATTATAATGAAAATTACAAAAAATGTATCGTCTCTTGGAGAATAAATGTCGTCGTAAAAGTTTAGATTAGTTAATTAATATTTCAGATTATCCGTATATGTCTAAAATATTTGTTGAGAAATTTTGATGGTCGTGAGAAACGACGATGAGGTCGTAATGAGTCTGTTTAAAAAGCTCAACTTTCTGAACACAAATCAGTCTCAGATCATCTCCTGATAACGACTCAAGCTCATAGCAACACCAAAAAACACAAAATGGCAAAACTAACTCTAGTATGCTTGGCAGTGTTATACATTGCTATGGTTACCATGTCTCTGGCAGCACCGATGGCTGACCCCGACCCAGAAGCAGAGGCAGAGGCGTCACCTGGTGGATACGGCCATCATGGTCATGGACATGGACATCACGGGCACCACGGTCATCACGGTCACCACGGCGGGCATCATCACGGACATCACCATGGACACCATGGCAGCCATCATGGACATCACGGTAGCCATGGATACGGTCATGGGTAAGTAACATAAAGTCTATAAGGTGGAGGTATATGGACAGAATTAAAGCTGTAAGCTGCTACTTCATCAATTCATAGTTGCATTTGAGTTTGAACACACCCCTTTCGAAAAATTGTTTTCGCGCTAACAGCTTTGATTCTGTTGTAGACACAAGCACCATGGGGGCCATAAGAAGGACGAATACGGTCACCACAAGAGCTATGGGTACCACACCGAGTACGGACACTCCTCCAAATACGGAAAATCCAAGCACGGACACGAGGGACATTATGGCAAAAAGCATGGGTAAATTAAACAAATAATGGTCTCCAAATAACACATACAAATCCAAGCACAAAATTGAAAAAAAAAATCAGATAATATTAAATATATAGGAAGGAAGTATTTAACCCATGTCTCCAAATAACACATCCAAATCCAAGCACAAACTTGAAAAAAATTAAGATAATATTGAAAATATAGGAAGGAAGTATTTAACCCATGTCTCCATATAACATATACAAGTTCAAGCACAAAACAGATGATATTTGATATATTGGAATGAAGTATTAAACCCATGGCAATGAAACAATTACAATAACGAAACCAATGTTTGTATGACTGAATCACAATGACATGTTCATGAATATTCATGCAAAACTTAACTTTTCCAGTTATGGACACCACGGTCATCATGGCGGACACCACGGGCATCATAGTGGCGGCTACGGACACGGACACCACGGTCATCATGGACATCATGGACACCACGGTCATGGCGGACACCACGGCGGTCATGGCGGACACGGTCATGGAGGGTATGGTCATGGAGGTTTCTAAACAGGTAAGCGGTCGTTCAGTATGGGTTTATTTCAGCAAAGGGTTGAGAAATATAAGGGCGACCGTATACCCGCATATATAGAGATTATCCTATATGAGGTTCAGGATATTGGGATTATCCCGAGGCCAATATAATATATTTGCCCGAGGGCCGCAGGTCCCGAGGGAAAATATATTATATTGGCCAAGGGATAATCCCAATATCCTGAACCGACTATAGGATAATATGTTTATCCCATACCAATCTTGGTCATCTGGTTCACATTGTTCAATCGTGGAAATATTTTAGAATATTCATGTCCAGTTTTGTTTTCTTGGCCGTGGGCGGATTTTCCGGTTCTCTCAAATATTCCCACATTTATTTTCTCGAATTTTTGATTAAGTGGATGCTCCTTCCCTTTTTTGAACCATCAAACATATCCCGATTGTCTGTGTTCTCCATTGTCGTTTACAGTCATTACGCGAACGTTACAAATTATGCGAGCGGCGATTATGACGTAGCGGGCAGATATACTATATCTGCCCGCTCGGAGCGGGACGTAAAGCTTTATCTGCCCGCTGATGAAAATATAAGTTTTTACAAACCGGCTTTATGTACCTGTAACACGTCCAAGTATGGGATAAACCCATATATTCTATTGTAGTAATATTGCAACAAAAACTTGTGATTGTTAAAGTCTCCATATAAAGTTTGAAAAGATCTCTTTATCATTCACTACTGTTTGTCATGACTTTTAAAGTTATTTTAGAGATTTTTGAAAAATACATTTTTTCAAGTAGAAGAAAAATTTTGATCATCAAATATTCCACTATACACGTTTTATATAAGTTTTATATAAATTATATAAGTTTGTACAGTGCAAAAACATTGTCTTTTAACACCAATGCAAAGATTAAGCAAACAACAGTAAAATGCCATATCTAATATGCCACATTTCCCGCTTATTTACGAACCAATTTTTTTTTCGTCAAAAAACATGTGAGGATAAATGCTATGCATCGGTGTGCATTATTGCTTATTAAAAGATACGTGTGACCTCTAAAAGTAAGTTTTAAATAAATTCACGATCTTTCGAACAAAAAGATCTTCAAACACCTTTTGAAATTAAAAATAAATGTTTCACATATCACACTTTGATTACATGGGGTTAAGACTACAAAATAAATCAAATTGGTTTTAAACTTTATATGGAGCCTTTGTACCATGAGATCAAAACAATTGTATATTTTACCAGATGAATACTCTTCCATAAATGCCATCTACCATTTTAGTTTTTTGAATGTATTGAGTCATTATTTAAAACTGACTTTGCATTCCAGGATATTGGCGAGCATGGATCTTTGAACCAGGACCTTAAAACTGAACTGTCTTCTCTGGGATTCAATGTATTTAATGTTGTTAATAAATAAAATATCTATATTTACCAACTACAAAATCTTCCTGTTTGCTTGTCAATTATAATATACATGTACAGGTACAATATAATATGTAAAGTGTACAATATTGTAACTGTAATGTAAGTGAACAAGACACTCCGATTGTAAAGTAATAGAGAGAGTATAAACTAATTGGATTATATATTATTACCATGGCAACATATACTTTATAGAAAATGTTATATTTGTTGAAGTCCCATATACCGTTGCCATGGTAATATATGTGTATATATTGCAGAAAATCTCATGTCCGAATCAAGTCAACCATAACTTCTCGAGATGCTTCTATCCTGGCAAAAGAAAATACAGGAAATGCATGGAAAATCATTAAGTCTATGAAAAAAATACAATTCCAACCCTATTTTGAAAGCCCATGATCACCGGTCCCCGTCTGGTTATAAAGACGTTACGTCTTTATAACAAAACTGATGAACTTTCGTCGGAGGAAATTTGTGTTTTCATCATTTTTGCCAAGAAGGATGTCGATTTGTATCCAAATATTTTATCCTTAAATTAATAGAAGCATCTGGTTACTGAATATCGAACCAGTCACGAGTATACGTCGTAAACCCCCTCCATAAGTTTGGCAACCTTAGCCCCCCCCCCCCCTCATTGAACTACGTGTTAAAGCCTCTTTATATTTGAATTTTTATTTACTTAACCTGCGATGAAAATTTCCAATTATATATTTCCAATACCTCAAAATTTTCTCAATTTTTTTTCTCAATTACAATATGTCGAAAATTGATGATAAATTTGATGACTTTTTGAGAATCGTCATTCCCATGTAAACCTCCGGGAAATGGTGGGTTCGGGGCAAATCAGAAATCAGGATATCTATTCAGTAAAAGATTCAACAAAAAATATATTTATATCGAAAATTGAATTGTCTAACTTTTTTGTACACTAAGTATTTAGTTTACTTAATGAATACTAAAGTTACAGAGCTTCAAAGTCATAACTAAAAATCATTTTTCGCCTCCTGTGTTATTTCATTTCAATGGGAGAGTTTTCTTGAAAAATAATTTTGACTTTAAAGACCTCAACTTTGTTGAACCTGAAGAAATCAATTTTTTGGTAAATAAAGTTAGCAAATTCAATTGTCTACCTAACTTGTATTTTTGCAAGGACTCGGATGGATGGATATTCTGTCATATGACTTGCGGCAAACCTACCATTTCCCATTGGTTAACATGGGAATGTCGATTTTCAAAAATTCATCATCAAATTCATTTTCGATCTATTGTAATTCAGAAAAAATGGGTGTATTGAAAATAAAATAAAATTACGTTTCCACCAATATTAAAAGTATTTTCATCGCAAGTTAAGTAAATAAAAATTCAAATATAAAGAGGCTTTAACACGTTGTTCAATGGGGGAGCTAAGGTTGCCAAACTTATGGAGGGGAGTGTACATCCGAGGGCTCCAATAATCGACTAAGAATTCCTCACTCCGGCCGTTGAAAGGCCATAACACAAAGCAACCAAGACGTTTTGAAATTCACTAGATAACGTCCTGGTTGCTGAAGTCAGCAATTCTGAATCGATTATTGGAGCTGCTGGATATATTTACCAGTAACTGACTAGATTTTCAGTAACCGGGTGTTACTATTACATGTATTAACATACGGGTAAAATGGATACAAATCGACCTCCTTTTTGATGAAAATAAAAATTTCCTCCAACTGAAGTTCAACCATTTTGTTATAAAGACATAACGTCTTTATAAGCAGGTGGGGACCAGTGATGGTTTATATTGGTACTTAAATATTTCGATTTGATTGCTGGGCTTTGGAGGCAATTAACCCTCTTCAAGAGTTTGATTTTGCATCTAAAAGAGAGCTTCATCTGGTAATGACTACCAGCCTCGAACTTGGCTTCAGGGAAGGGGCAAGCATGCTATTTACATTTTGTACAACAATATTTGTATTCACAACCTGGTCGATCTAGAGTAACAGCTGTTTTAATATTTGTACTCCAAAATAGAAAGTCAAAAATACAAACACACTGCTAATTGGGTAATAATAAAACAGTTGTTAATTAATGATAAATAAAGGTCACACCCAATATCAATTTCTTTACACTATTCGTTGTCACATTCACAAATAAGATGATGATACATACGACGATTTGTTTTGCTCTAGTTGCACTTACTGTGGCATCCTACGTGCCTGAATATGGACACAGGCGTCATTTAGATAATTACTATCGCCATGGTCGCGACGACTATGGTCGCCATGGTTACAACGATTACGATCGCTATGGTTACAGCGATTATGGATATCCTCGCAGACGGTTCGGATATGATCGCTTTGAAGATTATTACAGAGGTGGGGATAGGTATGGTTACAGACAATTGGACCAGGGGTATGAGAGACAGACAGAGAGTTATCCAGCCTATCATCCCCATAACTACATAAAGCAGGACGAGATGTGCCCATACAAAGCTGGAGACTACAGCGCCTACAGCAATGGTTATGCTAAAACTGCACCAATGGGTAATACAATTTTGATTCGAAAGAAACATTTCAATAGAGAATGGAGATTCTACAGTTAAAATAAATCTTTCGGTTTTAGTCCTGACTGTGTGGCAAATTGACATTATAAGCCAAATTGTTTCCGTAGTCAGAGAGGAACATTAGTTCTGGCAACCTTTTGTATTTCCTTTTTTCATGATAATGAAATGGGTAACATAGCGCTTGGGTATTATTTTATTTTCACTCACTCTTGAAATACTATTCCAGATATAAATTCAAAATAAGAAAAAGAATGGTCAAATAAGGTGAAGACCTTCTTGCACAACTGTCCATTCTTGATGAGCTTAATAATTTTTATTTCTTAAGTCGAAGACGAGTTAAGAAATGTTACCAAAGCGAATCAAGAGTGGATGATAATTCACAGATACGCATGTGAGAAAGTTTTCATTAACAGCTTCAAATTAAATCCATTATCTTCATTTTAAAGCATATTTTATCAAGTACATTTTATCTTACACATGTGACATTAGGATGATCTTCATGAGGTTAAGTTGGTTGAATATGAGTTAGACATATGAGAAAATCTATGTTAATGATGCAGTTTGCCTACTTCATTTTAAAATGCTGAAATTGTTTTGATTACAGAGAAGACAGACACAGACTTCTGCACTGACCAACCAGATGGTCAGTACGCCAATCCTGGCCTGTGCAACAAAGTAGACCCCAGGTGCACATTCATCCAATGCTCAAGTGGCCGTACATTCATCTTCAATTGCGCCCTGGGTTCTTACAACGGAGACTCCTACCGCCATCACTGTCCCGCATACGGGAGCTACTTCATGGGCTACTATTACCGCCACAAGTACCAGACATACGGCGTAGATTTCTGCCACGTCAACGACGACAGTACATACAAAATCTGCCGTCGCCACTATTAATCAAAACACATGCTTGCCTTGACGAAGAGACGGGCTAAGGAATTCTCTTTCGAACGTCTTGTACTGTTAGTGAAATATAACATACACATGATATCCACAGCAAAATTCAGATACCAGAAAAGAACTAAGAAAATACAGATCCTAAATCATAATTGTATTGGACACATTTTTCAGATGGATATTTATTGTTGCTCAAAAGAAACATCCATTTAACTATACCTGCATGAATATCTTATTTGTTAGTACAATTAAATAATAATCAATACAAAATAATAAAAGCATTGTTATAATAAAACATATCATTAAAAAATGAAGTTGTCTTAAAATTTATTTTCAAAGCCTAAAAACTTTCCTTTGATTATGTTCCATACTTATCAGCATAATCAGGACACAGTCTTTATGGTATGCCCAGTATTGCCTGTTATACATTACAAAATAATACTTGGACTGAATACGCGTTGCCTGTTTATTGAAATTAGATCTAGGTACGTCATGGGACAATAGATTATCAAATCATTCTTCACCCGGTCTTTACTGGTATGGGATTCAACTGATAATTATTTGCTTCCTCGTCTGAGTCGTTCTTATCCACATTTAAAACAGGTCGTTTCCAAAGTAACGCTAATATCCCCAGAAGCAGGACTCCACACGTTACTGCGAGCGCTATGGTTGCTACACGGTATACTTCTCCCTGTTTGATTAGCTCGCCCGTTTGTTGTTGCCCCGAGGCTGTGGGTTGTGCACCGACAGTGTTTGGATCTGGTGTAGCGGGCGTTGTACACACCGGAGCAGCTGGTTCTGTCTTATCAGTGACCTTAGGAGCTTGGGTAGATCTGGTGGGTTGCATGGTGGTCGTGTTAGCAGGAACACTTAAGCCTGAGAAAGATAATGCAATGGGCTCATGTTTATTGATGACAAATTCAAAAATCATTTTAGAATTTACGTCCAATGAAATTACATTGATCTAACAATTATCTATCAAAAGATAAATGTAAATTACGAAAATGGATTAATTTTCAAATAAAACTAAGAGTGCTATATGAACTTATGCAAAAAAAGCATTTGACAGAACCCATTTGGGTGTTTTGGCTTACAGTCATGCCCGTGATACTAACCTTTTAAAATCCAAGGGACATAGTGTGTCCAGAAGGCGATCCTATGCTGGTTATACTCCTTCCTTATCTCGTTATCGTCTCCAATGTAAAGGTACTTGTGGTCAGTGGTGTCATATTTTGGCCAGGTTGTATTCGCTACTGGTTGCGGGGTGGGGTTTCTACAACAGTGAACAGACAATGAGTATTTTAGACCACGTATGTATTAATATGGAGCAACTGTTATTCGTGATATGAATCTTGTATTCCTTATTGTGTACCAGTCTTTTCAGTAACCCATGGCCAATGTTTTATAAGTTAGTGCATACCCATATTTTGCAAAGTTGCTCCACATTTTCATGACCCGTTCAGAAATGATTTCATCCTTTTGGTTATATTGAAATATATCTTCCATTCCCTTCAGTTGGTATTTGACTGTTGGGTTTTTGTTGATAAATGGCCAGCCAAGCACATAAGGAAGATCTGCATTGTGTGTTGCTCCTGTATAAAGAAGAAGACATACATATATCAGGTAAAGGACAATGTGCAACAAAAATATTTGCAAATTTTTATAAACCACCCTAGTTTAAAACATAGATGTGTAACAGTGTTTAGGATAAATTAAATCTTTACTATCATCTTGCTATCGACCCAATATTTTAGATAAAACGATCCAAAGTAGTCAATACATTGGGCAAATGGAACGTGTGAACACAATGAGCAAATGCAAAAAAGAAGAAAAACAAACATGAAGCATATACATTTTTGTTCCACGTCATGAAGCATTTATTTTGATTGAAAACAACATTCTCCATAACCATGGTGCTAATCTCTATATGACGTCACACATGAAACTTCCAAACTGTAATAATCACTGAACAAGTCGATCATTGTGACGCATTTGAAGAATATGTATTGATGCATGACGTCACTAACATACCCATGTCAACAGTTTATTGTTTTGTTGTTATGCTTGCAATCAAGAGCTAAACTCTCTGAAGGATCGACAAAATGACTAGAAAAGGTAATTACAAACTAACTTTTAATCTAAAACATTACTAAAGATTCAATAATTTAGTATCTAACAGCATTTCTGTCAAAACACATCTGATCCTCTTCACGTGAAATGTCCGGAGTAATGATTTTTGGAGCATTTAATCGTACTTGCATTGCGATTTGCATTACTTTTACAATTTTCCGTTTATATTTGCAGGCGAATTGATGATGTCTCGAACGTTATTTGCGATTTGTACCATCATCCTGTGTACATGTGGCACTGGCAATGCAAGAAGTATCAACCATCCAGGTTATTTCACAAGTTACCCTAGTGTAGTTGAAGGACGAGAGGTGAAGATCGGTGAAACCATGGAACCTCCGATTGAACCAAGCGAGATCACGACAGTTAATCCAGCGGATAAAACAACCAAACTGTTGGCCGCAGGTGTTAGTTTTGGAATGCTGGCGATATTCATAAGAGGCTTGGCAGTATATATTCAAAGCAACGTCAAAGGAAGAACCAAAAGTATATCCTATAGTGACGCTGAACGGGGAATTCGAATGGCCAAAAGAAATAGAAATGGTAACACCTTGACCAGAGCCAATGTGATTTCGAAGAGCGTGTTGCCCAACGGGGAACGTAAGGAAGTTAGTGCCTCGCAATCGGATACCAATGCTGACCAATCCCCCAATGATTCGAATAAAATACGAAATGAGGCTAAGAAGATGAACATGAGCTACATTGATTATCTAGACTATATCGTATTAAACCCAAATGCGAAAATGACAACGAAGAAGCTAAGTTCGTTTGACGATATTGGTAAAAGTCGAACTGAGTTTGAACATGATGGACCTCGACGACGAAATCAGGAATCTCTGCCTAATCGTTCAATCCAAATGGCTAGCGATAATCAACGTCCGGGGGATTACAAGCCACAACCCCACAACAAAAAATGTATTCAGACAAATAACTCTTCAAACCAACCAACCAAGATCAATCAAAGGAGAGAATTCGTTCAAAACAAAGACCACGCAGACAATCGACAGACTACCGACAAAGAGGCTGCATCGGAGAGACAGATCGAGATGTTATTTTCAAATCTTGAACGTGCCCTACTGAGCCATGCTAGTTACATTCCTAGCGCACACGATAGAGCCGCTAGAAAAGAATGCCTTCCGCACCGATGCTATGTGGAAATGGACACCTCGTGAACTGTTTTTTTTAATTTACTTTGTTCAACCTGCTAACATTGCTTGATTTCAATAATATGAATATAAAAAGGAAGCATTGATTAATTAATGAAGTCCAATATAGCAGTGACAGAGAGTGATGTTGATATTTTTCTGGGTGACAACTAAAATATCAAGTTCAAAGACGGCGCTATACCTTTTTCTAGCCTTATCTTGTTCTAGATTTTCGCATTTGTTAAAGCCAACAGGCGATGCAAACTCAAAAGTGTTTTTCCCAGTCATTGACCTCACCTGTTTCTAAATCAGGCCTTATGCCCCTATCATACACACTTACCCATCCAAGCTGGAATGTCGTCTTCTGTGAGGCTTGAGCTTTTGTAGCCCATCACATATTGATATGTATCGTTGTATTCCGAGTGACTCTTGGCATACAGATCGTTCCCGATGCCAAAGCCAACGTCTGTAAACAACTAAAACATCAAATGCAATGTTTTGTTAAAAACCAATATCTAAATATTTTTGAACTTTCAATGCAAGACTAGGTGATGTATGTTTTGACATCAGATTGTATTTCCGTCGTTCTATGTATATAGACTATGTATTTCATGAAGTATAAAGGAGGGGGTGCCACGAGCCAACACTAACTTGGCTATTTTTAATTAATATTTAATTCTGCTTATCACAAGTGTCTGAAAAATGCTGCCACTTACTTCTTGAAGTCTGTCTCGATTTGCAAGTTCATCATCTAAATGTGGCCAGTTTGAGTATTCGAAATCAAGCGCCCTTCTAGCTGGCTCAATGTCGGTTCCAGCAGGACTGAGTTGATTCAAGAGTTTATCAATCACTCTAAACCATTCGCTTCTGTTGAAGCCACCCGAAGATGCCTCTGGTACAACTAAAAAAAGGTGTATTCATTATTGCGTATTTCTGTACAGATACCCTTGGGTTTAGTCAAAAATATTTCTGCATTATGCCTTTCAAAGCCTGAATTCATCAGTCATATTATCATTACACAAATAGCTAAGAGAGGGGGTAGGGGTATTTCACCCCTTGGCCAAAATACTTTCAAAATCATGCAGTTTTCCACCATTCTGAGCACTCTTCTGGTGATTTTGGACAAAGGTTGTTTAATGTGAACTCCTGGAATATCTTGAAATGTGACACTCCCTTAACAAAAGCTGGCTATGGGAGGAACCGACCTTAAACATCCTCAGCATCCCAAGAAATAACCTCAGGCACAAATTAACTAACCCACCAGTCCCCACACCAGTGAAGACGATGGGCTCAATTGCCGTATCGCCGTTCAAATGCAATATGATACGGCAATCGAGCCCATCGTCTCCACTGCACCCCACCACAACATAATAATCTCTGTAATATATTATATGGCATAAACACATCATACATGCTCTCTTCATTATGCAAATCTCGTTGGGATCATACTTACCAACAGCCAGGTAGAGGGAACCATCCTCGGAGGTCTGCCCTGTCATTACGGGAATCTTCCTAAATTTTCCCTCGTTTCTTAATGTTATGGGTCTATCGGTCAGAAATTTCCCGTCCACTCTGGGTCCCCAAATATGGGTGATGAACCCTAGCTGAAATTGTAAAAACAAGTGAAATAAAAGGAAAACTCTATCATGGGCAAAAGTTCCCAATTACAAACATTGAAAGTTGATAATGCACATTATATGCATTAATGTTAGCTTGTACTTGGTAGACATTGTTGGGCCAATAAACTTTAACTTGCAGATAACATTCAAACAATCGTTGTACCCAAATAAGAAATAACCTCTCCAACCAACGCCCCCTCCCCCCCCCCTTCCCCTCCATGAAACACATGTTTATGTTTGGCGAGTTATTTCCGATCTGATGGAATCGAGGAACATTTTTCGGATGCAAACATGCGGCATTCAGAGGATTTCTTATGAGAAGTCGGGGTTGCAAACTTTTGGGATGAGAAGGTTGTGCACTTGTATACTGTTCACCATGAAGTAGAATAAAGCCTATTTAATGCTACATATTTATCTCGATTGGGAAGCTGTAGTCGTAGATCAAATGTGACTGAGGAAGAAGGAAGAAACGTCATTATCAAATGTTACCGTCTCTTGCATTTCAAGAATCCCAGAAACTATCATCTCATAAGGTTCCACTGTTCTCAAGCATTCTACCATAGCTGCCGTGTCGTCAGTTGGGCATTCATAGTCGAGATTCTCATTTAATATATTTGCCATTTGGACTGCATAATTCCGTGGGTGCTCATCTGGATCTACGAAGGCCCATGGTGATAGATCAGTGCCACTCTCCGCAATCACCTGGTGGAATAATCCTGGAAGATAGGTACAATGACTAGATAGGTATATACATATTTCACAGCTAGGGAGGGGGATGGTATGAAAGAGGCGAAGGGAAGGAGGCTGGTAACCTATAGAGAATACTGAAAATAAAGATAAGGCTCTAGCGAAGAACTTTTCAAATATATCACATACATTCTAACAATTTGAAAATCAAATTCAACGCACTCGTTGTAGATCGGATACACACAGACACTTGGACCAGACATCCATAGAGTGTTCTTGATAACGGGATAAACGAACAAAAAATACTTGAGTCAGGTCAGAACACTAGGTCATAATGGAATATTAGGATAGCCCAGAACACAAAGGGTTCCACGTACGCACCTTCACTTAGTGGACTTAGTGTATGCAATCCTGCACTGGCTCCTCCAGCACTTTGACCAAACAGAGTCACTTTGTCGGGGTCACCTCCAAAGTTAGCTATGTTGTCGTGGACAAACTGCATGGACATCAACTGTCAACATAACAACATAAAGGTTACTCAATGTGTTGGGTGAGCACCCTAATACAGTATGCTACTATGCAAATCTTTAGAGAATTTTCGTACTATGATATTGTTTCCTGAATAGTGGGGAGGGTGTTAGACATTGTTTCCATATATGTTAGATCATAGTTTTTGATATTTTGGATTTCTTTTCTTTGGGATTGCATCGCCTGTATTCTTTGATGTTTGTTATTCTTATGCTTCTCCTATGTTTTTTTCAAATTCTCATTGGTCGTTTTCCTTTGGTACTTGTGCTTACATATTCCATGTATTCATATTCCAACACTAGGAACTTTAAAAAAGGCATTAACATGCAAAATTTCACCACCTGCCATTTGTTACAGACACCGAATACCGTCCACAAAAAGTTGGAGACTTCTGGTTGAGCCCACTAACCTGATCATATATGCCACAGTTACCAGGTGCATTATCATCCTCTGTCGTGAGGAACCCTAAAATTCGAATATAAGACGCTTGAATATATAATTCACTGTTTGAGAACTTGTTTATGTTTCATGATATGACCTATTTTAAGTAAGAAATACGATCAAGATTCAAACATAACATGCTATCCAATGGGGACTCCCTTCCACTGTAAGGAGGGTGTGTACGAGCATATGGTGCATTACTTCTGGGATAACCCTCGTATTTCTAACTTACCAAGTTGCCCAAGTCTGTACTGCATAATGACGACAATTACGTCATCGGCAGCGAGGAATTGGCCTGGATATTGTACGTTCCCTGAGCCTGTGTAACCACCCCCATGAATCCATATCATCACAGGGTACTTTTTACCTACTTCGGCATCCTATAAGGTTTTTCGACATTCATTTTATTGTTTGAAGATATTAAAAAGAAGCCATCAATGGCATAATCAGTGTTAGCCTGAAGAAAATTTTCTTCATTATAAAACCATGCACACGTTTGAGTTTTAATAACTGAATTCTTAGTATTTTTTATCAAAATGTATCATGTTTGGATGAAAAAATGATGGAACTTGAATATAATTCTAAATCAATAATGGATAGATAATTCTGCTTATTTTTGAAACGGCTTTTGTAAGTTCTGGTGTAGTGCATCAGTTGATGGACTGTCTGAGAGAGAATTGACAATATAACTGCTTACCCCCGGTGTATAGATGTTAATTGTGAGGCAATCTTCACTAAAGTCGTCATACAAAGGGTCGGTGTGGCTGACCCACTGAAGAGGGACGCCCCAACAAGATGGCCGGGGATAGGTGGCGTTCAAGATCGTTGTCGATGGCCAAGGAGTGTTTTTCACGGGATGCTGGAATCGATAAGTCTCACATAACTGTGGATGAACAATGGCAAACCATTTTTTCAAAATTAAATGATTGTCAAATAATTTAATAAAATTTAAGCATTATCGTGAAATATAATAAGAATTGCCAAACTTTTTTAGAAAATAGGCATAAACAAAGTATGCAGTGAGTAAAAAAATTGTAATAATCATGATAATAGGGTAGCGCCACCTAGCGCCAATGTAACGTACTAATACGACGTTTTAAACCATTGTTTAGGAGCTGTATATTTGGTGCCCTAAGATGAACAACGGCAAGAAAAAAATCAACATCAAGGAAAACATATCAAACCACTTTGACCTACAGTGATGTTCCATTAAATTCGACACGTTTCTATTAATAATAATGCACAAATAATAGTATGCTATTTAGACGTCGTGCCAATAACGTACGTACGTCATTCAGATTTATCGGTCTCTCTTTGTGGATCCAACAATTGTTGTAACGTAAAATATCAGGAACAATCAAATATATCTGACACAAACACAATATGATGAGATGCGTATTATTATCATATTCTTGCCTATTATTATCATGTTCTGCTAATCAGTTCAACTAGTGCATGTTATTCTGATTCACCAGAGTTTCACTTTGGAGACTACTCGCTGTGGATCCTACAATGGTACATGTTTAGAACGACAATAATGAACAACATAATTTGCCAATTGAATAGAGCTTAGAGAATAGAGCAGGTTGGGGATGTAAATTTCAATTAGGCAAGGCTTTATTAATGATCATTTAATACCTCAAATAGAAATAGATGATTCTGACTAAACCTTCTAAAGCCCCCCCCCCCTCTAAACTTCTGTTCTCAAATATTCAAACTAAAACCTTCTGTTCTCAAATATTCAAACTCATTTTCATATTATTTGTAACCAATACATAAGGCTACTACACAACTAAAATATTAGGCCTATTAGTCAGATTATGTGAATATTCTCTATAAATAAATTGACAGTTGTCTTTGAATTCTCGATTTAGTGAAGCAAATGAAAATTACAATTGGAAGAAAATACACAAAATGAACTTTTGAATCAATGCAAAATGAATGTATTTCATAATTGCGCATACTCACTTTAAATCTAAGTTGTCCCAGTGGCGGTTTGGCATAAGGAATTCCCAGATAGGATTGAACACTTTTACCATTGTGTAAAGTAAAATTGGTTCCTTCAACCTTTCCATATTCGGTGTCCCGGATGACAGCCTGTCCAGGAAGAAATGTGCAGAATATCACAACGGAAAATAAAAGATTCACCATTCTTCAATCACGAGTATACAATTACTGGATGTCAATTGATAAAGGGACTACGAGAGGCGGCGAATACCCACAATCTATCGCGTATGACAAACCAGTGCAAGATCGGTAAGATTATGTTGCCAAAAAGTCAAAAGTTGTGTATTGAAAAAAATTGAAGCAAACAATACGCAGATGGGTGTCTGTGACTCCTATACTGTGTGAGTTTTTACTGATTAGCCACTGCGAGTATCGAAACACCTTTGTTGGGCACCATATTATCAGTCTTGTCATATCTCTATGAACCCCAAGTGCGACAGAAGTAAGCAACCAGTTTATAACAGACTAAAAAGATCTGCCCTTTCCCAAGTCTGTGCATCTTACTAGTAGTACTAAAGTACGTATTATTAATAAGTTCTTAGGTTACTTGAGATCCAATTTTGCTTAAAAAGGTAACCTGATCCAAGCTTAGGTATATATCCAGGCCAACCCCAGACTTAAGTCATACTGAGCATTATGGGTCAAACTGGGCATTGTGGGTCCTTGGCTCCCTCTAAATCCTGACTTTCATAAACATATGTACATGAGATATTATTTGAAGAATTAACTGGCTTTCAAGATATCGGTATTGATATGAGAATGTAATAACAAAGATAGCATTTATGATCAAATAGACTTTTTCGACATTTGACCACTACAAGTGTTAGAAAGTGCACAACATGATAATACGGAAATAATTTTCAGAGTCAAGATTCAAAATCGTATTGTAGTTGAGAAACAGGATTAACGGTTGTGGCCAAACATCGGAACGTCAAATGTTGTACAGAATCTTGTATCATACCCGTTTTATAATTTGGTCACACTAACAATACGAATTCCGTAACTTCCAGTCAAACCATACAATTTCTCAATTTCTCACCATGTTATTGAAAATTCATCGCGAACGGGCTTAAACTATTAAATTACGTTCTAATACGAACTTCTTGGACGTGGAAAGGAGTTCTGAAAGACAATATCTTGACGTTTATAAAAGTTCCCAAGAGGTTTTGCTCACTTTTTGGTAGGTTCGTGTTTTAAAGACTATTTATGAACAAACTTTAGGACATGACCCTGACTTCAGCCTGTGATTTTCAGGACATAATACATGACGTTTTGAGGACTAGTTTTGCGTGACTGGGGAAAGAAATTCTACAGCCAATAGACCCATCCATGATGTCAACGCTAAGAAACACATGGTATACTAGACTATTCATTATTATGTAATCGTGCTTTTCATTATCTTCAACATAAGTTCACGTCTGGGTAATGGGTACAAAAATATATTTACATACTAGAGTGCTTCCTGCTCTGGACATGTTATTCACATAATTTTCTAATCAGGATATTACCCTTTAAAAAGTTTGATTTCACCTCTTTAATAAAGAGCTTCATCTACAGTCAGCAGTGATCATTACTAGCTTTTTTGACTTCAGAGTATGGATCCATACAATAACAACGTCATTCTCCCACGTTAGTGAACTGTACCCGAGAATCGATTGTGAGTGTATGTTCCTTGCCCAATATGCCCTTTTATATATCAAACAGAGTATAAGTCAGGTCTAGTCAGGTCGAATAAATGTCGTATACGTTGTATAAGGCTAACTTGAGTTAGGGATCAACTTTTACTGGGTTAAGTTCGTAATTGCCGTTCTGTTCTTTCAATTCCGAATCTACTTTGGTTCGCTTCCACAGGGCAGCGAGTAGGCCCAATAACAAAACTCCACACGTTACACCAAGCACGATCGTGGCGATCCTGTAGTTCTGGCCCTCGGAAGTTAATTCGTCAGAAGTTTGAGGAGCCACTGAGCCCCCAGAAGGTTCCGTGCTAGCAGAAACAGTTGATGATACTATTGTTGTGGCATCTGATGATGACGAAGCTGGAGCTGCACTAGAACTGACTGGAGGTGCAGTACTGGGAGTGGAAGTTGGAGCTTCAGTGGGAACCTCTAAACCTGAAACGATTTAAAGGTTTAAGCCATGGACTATGTACAATGTGGAATGACCATTCCTTGAACGTGTTGCTTTCTAAAATTTGCACCAGATGCGCTAATCGAGTGTTAATTTTAGGAAACAACACCTGAAAGGAATGGTCATTTCACAATGCATTGAGTCTTTCAATGAAACATTTTGCAAGGGTCTAGTTGGCAAAGCATCAATTTCAATCTGTAGAGACAAGTTGTCACATTTACAACCACATAAGGATTGACCTTGGATGCGGTGATTGTTATGAATATGAAATGCTGTGTTATGATTGTCAGGAATCGGACACACCTTCCTTAGCTAGCTATGTGTGAATACATGATGATCTTAATTGTCAGAGTTAACACAGGAGGTTGTGTACTGAATTATTTGATTTCAGCAATATATAATGGTTAAAAACTCCTCCACCCTCCGATTGCATGGCTCCAATATCCAGTTTTTCAAGAAGGAACAAGTTTTGAAGTCCTGGATTTGGAGAAATCTTCATTACATTTGATTATTTAAGAGGGGGAGAAACCCCAGTGTTCAAAGATGACATACGCTAATAATGTAAATCTGTATTGAGATGACATGGTCGCTGATTGATTTAGCGAGTTGATCGTTGATTGGTTTAAAACTAGGTCAATTTGAAAACTTTGAAAACCAAGATGGAGGGTAAGTACTTCTGGGAAAGGAGGTGCGCGAAGGAGGAAATCGTATGTCATCAATTGAATCATGGGGTTTTCCCTCCTCTTTGATTATTTTAAGTAGTTCAACACGGCCATTGGTGCTCGCTTCATTCTTACCTTTGAGTATCCATGGTGCATATTGTGTCCAGAATGCGGTTCTATGGGGATTGTACTCCTTCTTTACCTCAAAATCTCCCATCCTATCTATGGACATGTAATTGTAGTCAGTCGTATCAAACTGGGGCCAAGTGAAGTTGTTAACAGGTTCTGGAGTAGGGTTTCTGGAACAGGATGTAATACATGTAGTTATAAATCATATTTTGCCAAGTGTGTCTCGGCCGATCAGATAAAGTATTTTAGTGAATTAATTTAATGTAATTTGATTAGTTTGTGGTCAACTGAGCAGAAACACTATTTTACAGTGCATTATTCTTTTATAATGAATTGTAGCGTCGCCATCGCAACCACATTATGGTTTCTGGAACTGGACAACGTCTTTTTTATTTGTCTTACTTCAGTCATGCCTCTCCAACTATCATGCCAATTCGAATTCAAATTCAATATTCTATTCCTCTATTTTCCAATTGCAGATGAGTTCACTTCATTTTTAGACATATGACCCTTGGTCCTGCTTTTTTTCATTGAATATTAGACGAACCTTTTCAGTGTCGGAATGTGAAAGTTTTTTCTGTACTACAAATCGCAACCTCGATTTAATTCGCGTCTTACCCATATTTAGCAAAGTTGGTCCACATTTTTATGATGATGTCTGTCATGTGATTGTCAAATTCATTGAAATCCAACACTTGCTGCATCCCAGCTAGGTGGTACTTCACCATTGGGTTTATGCCTATATACGGCCATCCTAGTACATAGGGAAGCTCTCCGTTATGGGGCACCCCTATAACAGGATTACACGACATGTCACTTTGGAAACGTTGCGAACACGTACAGATTTTAAAGGTCGTGATGAATTTGTTTTCCTAGATGAATTTACCTCTGCAACTCACATCGACTCCTTTTGGAACTCTCTCAATTAAAGATAAATAATATATACAATACAACACAATACAATTTGGAGTTGCAGTCCCTATATTTAAAAAAACGACAACACTGTATTTATAACTTACCCATCCAAGCGGGAAGATCTTCTTCTGTGGCGTTGGCACTGCGATAACCAAGGAGATATTGATATGTTGCATTATACTCCGAATGACTACGCGCGAACAAATCATTCCCAATGGCGAACCCGCAGTCTGTGAACATCTGAATGAAAATGTGAAGAGCTTATTTCACAGAGAGAGAAATACGAAAACAGTATCATGCTTGAACATAGTACATGTATACGAAGCTCTCTTTTAAAAAGCAATCTTAATCAATGGTTACTGTAATTGAGACCTGAAATAAAATGTGGTCTGCCGCACACCTCAAAAGGCTAAACGGTTGCTCTGAAAAGTGTAGGCCTAGTACTGAAAATAAAAATCTGGCTTTGATTGATTTTGTTTTAAAAAATAAGCTTGCAATTTGTACAACAGGCGAATGTAGTCTCATTGAATGCGGGGGTAAATGTCTCTTTCTTTCTCTGTAGTTCCATAAATGTGCCCGGCCATAGGAAAACCGGTCTTATCACAAAAATTAAAATTGTGCTACAGAGCCAAAATTGTGCCCAAGATTAAGAGGAAAATGAGCTAAATTAAAATCAGACTTTTTGGTCTATATATGCAAGGAAAAATCGTTAAGTCATAAGTCATGGCTCATTTGAAAGGTCTTTTTGTGCATTTTAGATAAACAAAAAACAAAATATTGAAAAATCTGTGATAAGACCCCTTTTCCTGTGGCCTGGGTCAAATATTACTTACATCTACTATCCTGTCTCTGTTGGCCAGTTCATCATCAATATGCGGCCAGTTGCTATATTCAAAATCAATTGCTCTCGTTGCTGCTTCATAGTCTGCTCCAGGGGGACTGAGTTGTTTAATGAGCTTGTTGATGACTTCATACCATAGAGTCCTGTTCAACCCACCGTCACTTGTTGCAGGAACGCCTGTTAAAACAAAGGCGATGGGGTGCTTTAATATGATACAATTCAAGCCATATGGGTGAAATGCAAAAATAGATACATATATTCATTAAAGCCTCAACAAGACATTGTCGGGAAGGAAAAAATCAAAACCAGAGAATACTTTTAAATAAATATTTAACATTCTACTAAATGACGCCAATCTAGCAACCGCCAACCAACCTGCTGAAGGAGATGGAGACAAGGTGATATAAAGTGCATCAGAAACCCTTTTGGCAATTAGCGAAAACACGACAAGTGATAATGTCACAACACATCATGAATCAATACGATTTATTACAACAACAAAAATAATGTGATATACTGTCGAGATGAAACAAACTATGACGTACCAATAAGAGCGAACATGGATCCATCCTCTGTTGTTTGTCCGGTCATAACAGGAACTTTGTGGAACTTTCCTTGCTCACGTAATGTTATAGGTCTATCCAGTAGGAATTTGCCGTCAACTCTAGGACCCCAGATATGAGTTATAAAACCAAGCTGAAAGGGGGTCAAATATTATGTCCATAACTCTGGTCATTGTTTAGTTAATTAAAAAAAATTCATCTCTGAGTTTGGGTTTCAGATTTGGTTACGCCTATTGAATAAATCTCGGGTATTTGTTGCAACGCAGGTTTCCTTCTCACTGAGCTTCTTTATTATCAGTCAATCGTTATAACATTCTTTAAACATTTGATGTCATGCTCATCATAATATTTCCATTACACTCACATCGGATAACTTTGTTAAAGCACGACTATCTTTGACATTAATTTCTTACATAAAATGGAAATTTATAACAAATTATGATGATTTTAAAAGATGTGAAACAAAAACAGGTTTTGATAAACGCAGTCACTCTAAGAAATTTGTGCTGCAAAACTTTAGAAGAGGAGTGTACCATCTCCTCATTACCTACCGTTTCTTCTACTTCCAAGATTCCTCCAATAAGCATCTCATACGGCTCTACAGTTCTTAGGCATTCCACCATAGCTGTGTTGTTATCAGTTGGACATTCATAGTCCAGCTCACGATTGAGCGCCTCTACCAACTGTACAGCGTAGTTCCTCGGGTGCTCATCAGGGTCAACTATGGCCCATGGAGCCATATCTGTCCCGCTTTCTGCTATCACTTGATGGAACAACCCTAGATGACACCGTAAACATTAGTAGAACATGTATATCTAGTTAGTATGATAGGGATGGATTAGATCATAGTCCTAATCTCATTGCTGTCTCATTAAGTAAAACATCGAAAAAATCACAGAATAACCAAATATACAGATTTAAAAAAGTGCAAATGTTTTCCTACCCTCGGTCAATGGGCTGAGTGTCATTAGACCTGAACTGGATCCCCCTGCGCTCTGTCCAAACAATGTCACTTTCCCGGGATCCCCTCCAAACTTGGCAATGTTGTCGTGTACAAATTGGAGAGACATGACCTTGATTTAACAAAACGGAGGACATCATACACACGTAGTTGTAACAATCATAAATGATAAATAAATAAGCAGGGCGTTTTACGCAAAATGTTGAAACAAATGTTTACATCATGATCAAACTGCGGTCAAATAGAGTTTTATAACCTTTACCTGGTCCATCGCGCCACAGTTCCCGGGAGCATTTTCATCTTCTGTTGTAAGGAAACCTGTAACAAAGGATGTCAATATACATGGACAATGGACAATTGCAATTTGCGATGCCATAGATGATCCCTGACATGCAGAAGAAGTGATGCATGAACGTAATATAACCATGATCAATCCTACCAAGGACGTCTCTCTCGGGATAGACGTCATTGATCCTACGTACTCCGTCCAAGACAAATTACATGCAATGTCTTTCCACAACCAGAATCTGTTTGATTGAAGACTAAATGAAATTCTGAACATCATCCAGTATATCATTTCAATCGTTTACAGACTGACAAAAGCAAATAAATCTTGAATCCATACCTAGCTGGGCGAGTCTGTACTGTATAATGATTACAATCACACCCTCAGCAGCGAGGAAATGACCCGGGTATTGTACACTACCAGAACCTGTGTAACCACCTCCGTGAATCCAGAACATGACGGGATATGATGTTACACCTTCAGCGGCATCCTACAGGAAGATTAGGTCATTAAGAGATATAGGAATCAGAATAACGTAGGATCAACAGATGAAGTCAGTGTTGCTTTCGGATTAAAAATGTACACGAGGCCTAACCATCTGGGACTTAACCAGATCATTTCTTGAAAATAGACTTTCCAAAATCTAAGTCTTTTTCCATTTTATTTAAAGCCCTTGTGCAAGAAAATTCGGAAATGAGCACAAATCTTCTGGAAAGATTTATTTATAAATCATCGCGTGTCTTCCTCTTGATAAAAGGATTTTATGGTCGCATTTCTAAGACTTGTGTAACATACCTATTTATACTAACTAAATAAATATGATATATGATAAACGAATTCAAATGGACGACGTATAAAATCAGCTGTCAAAACTTACCCCTGGTGCATAAATGTTTAAGAATAGACAGTCCTCCGAGAAGTCATCATAAATTGGATCTTGATGTGACACCCACTGTAAAGGGACGCCCCAGCACGATGGGCGAGGATACGTTGCATTCAGAGGTTGATTCATTGGCCACTGGGGTCCGGCATATTTCAATGGATGCTGAAATACAAAGGGTTTCGACCTTTATAGTCTTTATTGATTTTCATACCGGTGTGAAAGAAATTATGGTCCCCCAGGGATTATGGTCCCCTTTCTTAACGGCCCTTACTGGCCCCGATTGCGTATAAGATAATGAGAGAAAGAGTTGTATTGAGGTCACCATATAAATCAATGGAGAGTAGGACCATAATTTGATGGGACCTCCTACCCTTTTACACCGGGGTTAACCCTTTCCCGACGTGAATATAAGAGGAAAATGTTGACCCTGGTGACGGATAAGTAAGAGTGGTTTTAAGGGAAAACTGCAAGTTACCTACGCTCCGTTACCTATACCTTGAATTTTATCACTGAAATACAACTTTAGTAAGGATTATCACTGTAGAACAACTTGTCAAAATTTGGTGTAAAAATACTGAATAGAACTGGAGATATTGACATTTCATTGATGTATATAAATAAAAATAATGGTGTCAAAATTAAAGAAGCCTATCGTCCTGAAAGATGAATTATGCAGCTGCAGCTCGTAAATAAAACAGTCGGGGTTAGAGAAAACATGTACGAGATATATGGAGTAAAATATAGATATGTATCCAAAACTTCTATAACACACTAAGTTCCATAAAAACAAAAACAACATTGTCCAAATCCAAATTTTCATTTTATAATTTGTAGAATTCATTCAGACATTCCATTAAAACATAGATTAAACACGCATTCAATTCCGAATTTTGTCTGTAATTAAAGTTGTTTAAGGGCGTTTTTGGCGTCTTTTGATGGCTTTTACTTACCATGTACCTCAGTGCTCCAATGGGCGGCTGCGCAAACGGAATTCCAAGGAACGCTTGGACGGCCTTCCCGGTATGCAACGTAAAGTTGGTCCCCTCAACGTATCCATATTCCGTCTCTCGAACAACCGCTCCAATTGGAAGGATCACGCTGCAGAGAGCCGCTGCAAATAAAATGAGCTGTTTCATGGTCGTGGGGTTTGAAAGATGTCTTCCGGAGGGTGTGTCGGAGCTTTGAATCTCAGGAATGGAAGTTGAACCCAATAATGTAATAAAATAAGGACACTTACCAAACAAAGGGGTTCATAAGATCCATTTACTGCGCCATAAACCACTCGTATATAACTGATAGCTGGTGATGTCCTGTTTATTTACAAGAATGGAAATTGAGGAAGATCCTGCCAGATCGATCTGTCAACAAAATTGTGAAGTTTAATTTCTTGTTTTTGAATTCTATTTCGCTGAGAAATTATGGTTTCCAGCAAGTGATAGAAATCGCATGTACCCGTGTGAGTCTGACAGTTTACATTCTGCTATATAATACATGTGTACATATGTTCATATAATATCAATATCAACCTTTTTATTTATTTTCTAAATGTGTATCTATTGTGCTTGATACACAAGCACAGTCTTTTGTGTTCTTGGAATATTTAACAATTTCATACCACTTTCTAGGATTCCTGCCATAGAGTTTTGAATTCAATTTAAATGTTTTGAAAGGACACCAACGAGTTCTAACGCCAAAATGAAGCGCAGCATCTATTGAACGAAAAGTCAGTCTTCCCAAATCTCAATAGATAGAGAAGTTCTTCCTTTGAGTTTAGTCACAATTGTTATATGTAATTAGGGTCACAAATAAATACTCATCCTCCGATCACAGGGCTTCAAAATCCAAAATATCTTCTTTCTTTTTACAGGAGGAAGGAGGTACGGATTCTGGATACCTGCTTAGGAGGATGATAAATACTTGGAAAATAAATTATTGTGTGATTTTTCGACCCACTCTGTAGCATTAAGCCTATTGACGAGGAGAAGGCGATGGTTCCAAAATAACATATTCATTTTCCAAAGCACCACAGTGCAGTGTTTCACTAGTACCACATTGCAGCGATTCAATAGTACCACATTGCAGTGCTTCAATAGTACCACAATGCATTGCTTCAATAGTACCACAATGTAGTACTCCAATGTGTCAATTTAATAAAGCAGATACCAAATTGTTTGATTTCAAACTTTTATCTTACCTTTATGACCCCTGTTGAAGATAAACTGCAATACCGAAATCAGAGTTCTTGAGTGGCCTTGTGTACAGCAACCCAAAATGCAACCGTTCCATGTACATGAATGGCGTTTGACCGGCTTACATAAACACATGAACAATGCGCCATAAACTTTGCTGGAATCGTATATATTGGAAGTTATATTTCAATAGTTCAAGTCAAACAGTTCCGGCTGACAGGTACATTTTTGTGGATGTGCCCGGTTGGCAGAAGAGGCTTAAAATTGAATTCTTGGAAATGTGTTTTCAACCAACTTTGAGGCAAATCAATGCCGCGATAAAATGCAAATTAGATAAACGTGAAATTCAAGTGTTTCACAGTACGTAGTATTATGCGTCTGAAAATAATTCAACGATAGGAGGATAAATATGTGTCGTTTCGAATGCAACATCCAACACGTACTAAGTTCTATACGAAGAAATCCGAGTTTGCACAAGACGTAGACTTACCATCCTTCTTAAGTTGATTTTCAAGCATCCGGTAGTTTCAATACTGTATTAGTGGTAATTTTGTCTAATCATTTAATTTGCCAATTGCCTATCTTTGCCACGTTCGGAAAAATAAATGTCGGAAATATCTTCATAGTTATCCAATGGGAAGTTTCTCGTCACTTGGAAAATTATGAAAATTCGGCAAATTAACCACTTGGGTTAAATACTCCTTAGTCAGTCGAAAAGTTGATAGCGCAACTTGGCCACAGGGCGGGCCACAGGGTAGGGAGTAAACAAACAATAATCATGAGTAATTTCAATGTTTTCGCTCTTGAATTATTTCAGAAGTGAAATAATTGAAATCAAAACATAACAATAAAAATGAAAACTTACAATCAACATTGAGCTCCTTGTAAAATTTGGAACATAAACTTTAATCTCGGAAGCAAAAGAAGGTTTCGATTTATTGCCAATATATTACATGTAAAAATGGTTTCACTGCATTAGCTTACATGCATACCGTACCAACTGACCTATTGAAAAAAATCTGTCGGACTAGAATTATCATAGTTGTATTAAAGACTTTTCCATGACTATATTAGCTAATGGTGTTAGCACGGTTAAAAATTGATGAAGTACTATTTTTTCATCTGGGTCATCAACGGTGAGAGTATCGTCGACACTCGACACTTGAACAAGTACAACCACACGGTTAGCGACAGATTGACTCACGAAACAAGTGTTTATAGAGTAAATGAATCCGTCAATGCTAAAATACAAATATAACAAATTGGTAAAATAACAAAAAGCAAATAAATTGGTGAAATAATGAGTGTGAATGGATCTCGATTGCAATAAACGTCTTTGGTTTCTACTTTCACATGAATAATATATCGACAAATAAACATTCATAGGATTTGATTTTATTTGCACTCCATTAGGTCGAACTAGAAAAGGCACTCTTATGGCAATCCAGCCCGCTATCGAGTCTGCAGATCAGATAGGGCGGTAGGTCCCTCGAGTAACGCTATATCGACACAAGCACTCGATCACAGACACTTTAGGCTTGATATATAATTGATTATCCGTTGATTACATTGTTTTCTAATTGCTGGGAAATGTTGCATGACGTGCGCGACTGCACTGGCGCTGGGACCTGAATCATTTTCTAATCGTCGTTCCCACTTCTTCGTAAACTACGCCGATCCATTGTACTACTCCATCACTACTGAAGCTGACACTTAGCGGGGATCAGCGCGGGCAGCCGACAGTACCTATTTTGATACGACAACTCCCACGTAGAAAACTTTACCAATAAATACGATTTCCATTGACGGTATATTAATCGACAATCACCTTCCACAAGATACTGAAAAGGAATAACTAAGCGTTCGACAGAAACAGACCAGCGTTACATCAAGAGATAAATCTATCTAGGAGCAAAAATAAGGAATAGAAAAAGTAGCAATCTTTATAAACTTTAATTAAAATCTAGGCGTAATAATGTTATGCTAGTTTTGATGTAAATCGACACTAATAAGACAAATAAGTACTTTCGAGATAAAAAACAAATAGAGGAAAGTAAGCAAAAACTTACAATGCGTGGATTATACGCCAAAATGACGGTACTGACTCTCATGTCGGTTTTGATTGTCACATTGAATGGTAAGTTAAGTCCGAAATCGAAATAGTTTTGATTAAAACAAATCAATCTGCCAAATGTACATTTTTAAAAAGATTTCGTTTTCTTGGAATAAAGAATGAATTTTTAGAAATGACATTAAGGATTTTTTGTTCAGGATTTTTTATAAAGGTTGCTCACCAGCTCACTGAGGAAGTTATTAAGTTTATCGCAATCTCTCCTCATATTACTCCTTTTGTTCTTTTGTAAAAGCTATTCAAAAATAACGCTTGAAAATAAAAATTATCGACACTTAGACATAATTTCAGTTATAATCGACTTTTTAAAATATGGGTTAATGAAAAGGGAAACGCTAAATTCTCATACTTTTTAATATTAAAGTACACCCACTTATCGATATGGTCCTTAGTTCTTACACTATTAAAGATAATAGTTTAGCCAATGAACCGATCGCAATTGCTCTTAAATTTTGGATAATGCTAGGGATAAGAGTAGAAAAACATAAATACCATTTTAGCATTCACAATGAGGCTTATAATTTAAGAAAATGCCATCAATTAGTGTGACGTGCTTCTTCGACTGCCTTTCTCACCTGAATGAGGCTAAGAAAGACACAACTGTTCGGCGTAGGATCCATTTGCTCGTTAACGGTCGCCACAAGTATCCTATAGAGTAGCACTCAGATCGCTAACATTCTCTCTTTCATTGTTGGTATGGCTCTCATTGCCGCCTCCTTAAACACCATCATCATCCATAATCGGAGCTGACATGTCAATCTGGATTCTTTTGTTCACGCTTACACCACCCTCAAAAGTTTGGTAACCATTACTGTCAATCGGGTAGGTTGAAGTCTGGTTGTGTTGTGTTTGAATTGTTTTTCCCGATCACATTAATTTGATGATTTCTTCAAAATCGTCCAACATAATCTTTAACTGTATAACTCGTTACCCAAGGGAGCTGTATAAACTTTTGTAGAGGGGTGTTAGTGTATAATTCACCGTAACGCTTTATGGTGAATTAGACTTGTAAAAAAAATCTTTTTAGAACATTTTGTATCGCAGTTTTATCTAGAGACAGTGCTCAATTGGGCCAGCAATTGGGTAACTTTGAATTATACTCAAACTGTACCCAGGGAACTGTACCCTCTGTGTGAGAAGTCAAGTGAGGGGGGTCAAAGAAGCTTGTAGCTAGACTATCACATGGCCAGTAATTACAGAAGCTGAATTCTCTCTACCAGCCATGTAGTAGCCTGAGTCCGTGACAATTAGCATTTTGTTTTACTTGTTTTTCTCTTGTTGGCCGGCATAACCTAATCTCCCTGACTACAAAACCTATGACTGTAATTTTGTCACCTGCAAAGCGGTGTCTAACATATTGATATGGTCTCCGTTTTTTGTGACGGTGGTTGGCGAGTGGCGTTCGGCAGTTGGAGTTCGGCGTCTGTAATTATTACAAATGGCAGGTGGTGATATTTTGCATTGTGTTTCCAATAAAATTGTTGGGTTCAAATACAAAAACTATTGCACACATTTATGGAGACGTTTTTGCACTTAGCTTCCAGCTATACGCATCCAAACCATGACGTTCAATCTTTGTAATACCAAGTATACCCAATGGACATAATAGTTGTATCATTGACGAGTTATTTCAACAAGTGAATGTATCTAAGGACAAATCAAACATAAGTGATTCGCCTACTATGATTCTTACAATCAAAACAAACACAGCGCCCTGCAGCAAAATCCATTCATAGAATACGCATTTCGAAACAACATCGCTCTATCGTAAACACGATTTGCGTTTTATAATGATACGCACTTGTGCAAAGAAGGTAGAGCAATTGCTAAACAAATATCAAGGTACTTTTATGAAAGATAATGATGTCATTCAGGGATGCATCTAATAGGAAAAATATGTTTAGATACCAAGGGGTCGTTTATTGATTGATTATAATTGTTGTATCACAAACGGAATATCGTAAATGCATATTTGGACACTCTGGGTGATTTAAATGATTGTGTTCTTCTGGTAATGGAACCTTTTGGGCCATGTTCGGTTATTTTATCCTCCAATTTAACAGTATTATGAAGGTGTTTCTACTTTAAAGCAAAACAATTGATTTTATTTAATTTTGTTTCTTCTTGTTGAAGCAATAGTTCAGCCGATGAAGTGAATTTTAGAAAAGAAGCAATGGGTCTAGGTTCAAGTAAAATTAGGTTTAAAGCAAATGTGGGGGGTTAAACAGTAATATACATGCATCTTGTATAGGCTGAGGGGCTGATAAGGAGATAAATGGTTTGCATATTGGGATCATCTGGCAAATTGCTTGTGAACATTAATTATGACAAGGATCCTAAAATAGGCCCATGGGGTACACCTGAATCTACGACCATGGGAACTCATATTCAATAAGCACTCTTACTTTATCAATTAGTAAAGTAGAATTCGATTAGTTCTATCTGGAGCAAAACCATGCAACACATGTCCATCAAGAAAGTGACAACCAATTTCTGTTCAGTTGCCCAGCAAATGGCTGTGTCCCGTTAAGATTTAAAATAAGAGAAGGTTCTACGATAAACAATTAATTCTTTGTTCTTTTAATTTAATCTTGGTAATTTTTGTAAAGTTATGAATGTAAGCTTGCATATAAAATCGAAACGCCAACCTATACGTATGACCAATCGCCCATACAAGTGCATCGCATTTGCTCCGATTCATCGGCCTGCGCCCGGCCGATTGCGTATTTTTGACCGTTAAATCTCAAATTAGAGGTCAGCTATGAACGCCTGAGAACTTTACATGATTTTTTAAAATAGTTTGGTCAATTTGAAGCAAGTTGAAATCAGATTTGAACAAAAATACTGCAATCAGCCGGGCGCCGGCCGATGAATCGGAGCAAATGTGACCTATATTTTCCGTTCACGTTTAGGTTGTGAAAAACATTGCAAACTTTTTCATTTTCATATGATTACAGCGCTTTAAAATCAAAAAAATATTGGCTCCATGATTAAGACATTATTTTGGACTAATTTCAGCCCTACCTTCGAGGAGGCGTGGTTTGGATGTGAAAGCTCTAAGAGAACGTATACTGCTGAGAGAACTTGTGTGCTTACTACAGGGGAAATCTGACGACGAATGCAACGCTATTGCCAATACAGATCTGAGACAAATAAGTAGGTTTGAATTGTTGATTATTTAAAAACCATTCCGACTTCAACATCTAATCACTCCTAGATCTACCTCTTTCCAGTCTAGCATTCATCACGGAGTAATAGCTTTGAAGTGACTCCTTCATTAATTTTTAATAGGCAAAGATCTTGAGTATATTTTTGTCTTGGGAATCCGTGCTAGACCGCGTCCATATGCTCTCGAAGCGCTATTATGAATACTGGTATTTTTTCTTTATCATAGCCCATTTTTCTCTCAGACGGAGAGGTATCAGTGGCCCGGGTGACTCATACTCGTGCTTAAATGGGTCCGTATCCAAGGCAAAAGTAGAGAGAAGAAGGAAGGAATACGAAAATGAAATGTAGACTTTTTATGAGGAAGTTTTTCAAAACGTCATAGAAACAAATTTTAAAAAAATTTTTTTTATTAAATCTTAATTTTTCTAATATGTGATGCTGAATCAGTTTCCAAATCATGGGAATGATGAATATTGGATTCCCCCCCCCCGTCCCTATTAATTTCCTCATAAGGAATCCGGGAACGATCAACTAGATATCTGGAATTGAGTTGATTTTGGCACGTTGAGATGACGTCCAAATTTCAACAATTGTGAAAGAGCGAGGTCAATTTCGTTAGGAGGAGCTTCTAAATCATGATTTTATTGGTGAATTTTCCAAAAAGTAAAAAAGACAAAACTCATTTTTCCCGGGCATTTTTTCGTTACATTGGGGAGGCTTGGGGTTACTATACATCGCAATTAAATTTTAATTCGTTTTCCCATACCTGTCATAACATTTGGTACCTTATTATACATACCTTATTGCATTGATATTGATTCACCCTGCAACGATGCAACATTATTGCGTACGTGCACACAGTGAATCCACTTGTACAACATGGACTCGTTCACATATGACTATGACTACAAGTGTCTTGAGTACCACTACACTAACACTAGCGGGGGTGTCAGAATCGAGCGTTTTAGGTTGTATTTGAACAAGAACTTGTAAAATGATTCAGAACTAGTGAAACTGCGTATTTGTACGACGTAAGACAGAATGATCGATGTGCTGCCTTTAGAGACGGACCATATTTCGATATCAAGAGACCTCGCGCTCGGGTGCCCTAATCCATTTACCCGCTCACTCCTATTTCATTGGAATGCATTTATGGAGACAACGCGGCCTAGCCAACGTTTTGACAGTCTTTGTCATCAGTTTTTGTCTCTATCGATAAAGATTCAGTAAAATGCCAGACCTGTCGGGAATTTTCCTTTATCCCTAAATATCTATCAAGTGACCAATCTCTGCGTCCGTAAGTGTCAATTACCTCTCTATGTAGGTGATGTAATCATACTACAAGTTCATTAGGTTTGTGCAATAGCAATGCATCAATTGAGATATCGTTGATGCCATTGACTATCCTTATGTTGATATATTGATACTATTCGGTTGATGATCGATTGGATATGAATAAATATGTACTTTTGTTTAATAATATGTAGGTATGTGGAATGGTATGTAACAGTGTTAGTGATATCCATGCCTTTCAATTTTGAATTAAACTAATTTTGTTGATAAATTCCGGAAATCGGTAAATATTTGACAAATGAATTTATTACTATTATTGTTATATTGATACCAGATCTTTTTCCATTAGTGTCACTTACGTAACATAATCATTGAATTGAATCGTATTAATGTATCTTAATTATAGACATGTATTATCGTCCATCTGGTCTTCTCTTTAAGATATTAAATATTACATCTTGAAAAGCTATATGCCAGTATTTATGTTACGTATCTGAAATTTGAGAGATAATTGTTCAATTTTTAACGGCATTCGGTTCGTCGACCCAAGCCTAAAACATTGAAGTATTTTACATTTATGTATCTTTGTTGTTTTACACTTGTGCTTCATTTTTACCAGTCATATACGAGTACGAGTATGTCTTAGACAACTCGTGCGAGTGCGAAGTATTTTTCATGAACGTAAAATGAATAATGATATGGATTTCAAAGTATACAATCTTGTGTTATCCATAAATGTTATAGTCTCTCTTTATTCTAAATGTTATCAAAAGATTTGGGTACATTTGATATTATCAAAATTACATAGATATGGATACTTTAAGTTATTTATATATTTGTTTATTTATTTTCAGCTGAAACTATCAAACTTGGCCCTGACACTAATGAAAACTCCGAAGAGCGAATGTTAAACGCGTAAGTAAGGTGTAACGGTTCTCAAATAAATGCAATGAGAACATTTCTCTACAGATATTCTTTTTTAGCTCATTTATTAAAACACAAAAAATGTCCCATTGCAGCCTTATTTTGATCCTTAGTACCCCGGACAGGTTCAATGATGCAGTCGTCTTAGATTAGGAATTTTGATAAAATATTTAATTTTCATAATGAAAATTGTCTCCAGAATAAATCTTGAAAACTAATGGTTGTTCTACTTTTGAATTATCTTCAAATCTTATTTCTTTTATACATTGGTTTTACTTTTTCCAGAAAATTCCATTCGAGTATCGACAACGCCGATTTGAGGAGTCCAAATGATTTGCCTCAAAAACGTAAGCCTGGCCCCGAGGCTGCCGCATTTTACAGCGACTGGAAACGAAAATAGGGTGAACCTATCCAGACACTCTAATCGACCTAACGAAAGATGTACATAATGTCAATAGTACAGTATTGACACTCACAAAACATGTCAACAAATTGAAAAAGTTTTTTGAACTAACAACGCGTGGACAAATAAGTGCAAAAAGTCCAAAAGAATGAACATTGACGATTTTGCTAAAGCACGATGCAATTGATCTGTAACGATAAACAGAGTGACAAGAGTCTGAAATCCAAATGAGAAGGGAACTAGTACACTAAATTAATTTTGATAACCGATATCCAAGACGAATTGTACCTTTCTGCACATCCTACTATACAGGGTGGCGCAAAAAAACAATACCCAAGTTTAAAGATGAATATCATATGATATATGTTAAATCATGCCATGGTATTATATATCATTTTAAAAATAAATCATTTCCTAACAACATGACATCAGCTGATTGAAAAATCATTGTTTTCTTGTAGAGTTCGAGGCTAAAATTGACTCCAGGGGTGTCATGATAGACCAAAATATTATTAACAGCGGATTTCAAAATTGTGGCAAATGGAGGGAAATTTGAATTTTGGCACCTTCAAACATTAGGTACACTTATACAAGTTTAGTGCAAAATTCACCAATAAAACTTAAATATTTTGAAACAAGTGTCAATTGTATATTACTTGTTACTCCAAAACAAATTTGTAATGATTCAGCCAAGCATATTGAGTGCAGCTGTGACTGCAATATAAAGAGAAACTCGGGAATTTTTCTTTTTTGATTTTTTGGTCACTCATGACACCCCTGGTGTCAATTTTACCCTCTAACTCCACAAGAAAACAACGTTATTTCAATCAAATAGTGCCCGCTTGTAAGGAAATGATTTATATTAAAAATGATATATCATAATACATGGCAAATATAGTTTAAGATATATCATATAAATCATTCATCTTTAATACTTGGGTATTGTTTTTGGCCTACCCTATAGAAGGGTCAAAATGTATGAAATGCTTGACTATTTCATAAAAACTAAGACATCGAAAATAAGCTTTTCAACTTATGTCGTAAAAATGTAGCATACTTTTCGTTAATATGCAAATTATAAATATCAATAAAACAGCATTCGATGCAATTAATTTGTAATATTTTCTTGTGTATATAGAAATAGACAGGGTGTCGTAATACATTTTTTCAAATGAATACCAATTACAAAATGAATGACTTCTCCTCCAACCATTGTGAAAGCCTATACCTCGACGTATTGATAATCTTGTTTCGGCTCCTCGAGGCGAGCTTCACATTTAACCTCTTACCATAGCTTTTCATGTATGACATTTCAAACTTAGTAATGTAACTAATTCTAGAGCATCATGCCCCCAGGAAAACATGATTGGCCCATGAAAATGCACAGATAGTTCAGCAAGAGTTTACATATGTTATTTTATTAATTTAAATGATTTTTCGATTGTAATTGTTTTAAGGAAAAAAATAACATTTATTAGATAATGAAGAAGCTATTTGGAATTCAATTTATTTACTAAAATACAAATCTAGTCGTATTATATGTAATGGTTGGTTCACTGACGTTGAATCAAGACAGGCCATTCAGGTATTCAGCCAATGCTTTAAAAGTAAATTCTTTGTTTAAGGATTTAAGCCCTGGGCTCAGTGCATTGTGTGCTGAACCATTTCTCTTGAAGGTGTTATTTTCACATTTTTGCATGGCCGCGCAACGCCTCAGTGGAATGAATCAGCCACAATGCATCAAGTCTTGGATTGAATTCTTTTCGTACATTGCAAAATATTTTCTACGAAATCACCTAAAAGATACGTATCACTAAAATAACATATTTTCAATGAAATTTTTTGCAAGGGTCAAATTGGAAAGGCATTTATTTCAATCTGCAGAGTCTAGTTGTCACATTGACAACCATTCAATGAACGACCTTCATCGCAGTGATTGGTTATATAATGCACTGCAGTTATATAACACACAATTGTGTTCGGATTGGGTGGTTTCAGACACACCTTGCCTAGCTATATACAGGGCGTTCATTACGTTCGTGCAAAAATACTCTAAAAATTTTGTTTCTAGGTCAATCTGGCTGAAAATTTCACTCAGTATACCTCCATTACTCATACATTGAAATCCTATATTACAAGGAATTCATAAAGAAAAAAGTTATGGTTGCTATAATAACGTGAGTCGGGGGTAGGCGGAGCAGGCAAAAGGATTTGTTTTTAGAGTATCTTTGCACGAACTTAATGAATGTGTGAATTTATACGTATGTTTTCTCAATAATCTAACCATACAAAAAATGTTTTTGTAATGGGTAGCTCCGTATACGTTCGTCTCCATCGTTCAGTTTTGCATAAAGAGTATATAAACATACCTTGAATTTTTAGTTAAGGGTAAATTATTTCAACAATGTATGAACTTTTGGTAAATTCAGTCAACTACGTTTCAATATGTAGGCCACTAAATTTCCTCCTTTTTAGTGAAAATATCTATTAATTAATAAGACCATGTATGAAATATGTGCCTAAAATAACAATAACGCATCTGAACAACATAACATATAATCAGTACGCTTTGTTATATAATTTATGCATTCTTATTTCATAAAGAAGGCTTCTGGCAAATGATAAATGCATTCTGTTCTTTTGTGGTCCGATGAAATAAATCAAATGATCGAAAGTCGGGCGAGGACATTTTTTATATAATGAATAGATATAGTTGAGTACGTATGATTGGGATCTATATGTATTACTTGGGGATATTTTTCTGGTTTACAATCAAATGTCAAGTTGGTTTGGATGCCCCACATCAGGGTCTCCTTTATCAACCGGCCCAGTGGTAGGTCGGGAATTAGATGTCAAGGAAAATTTCATATATTTGTCCCTGGGGCTATAATCTAGACTTAAAAACAACATTTGATCTTGTGTCACATTTGATTGATGTATTTTTATGTATTGATGAATTAATGGACATTACTACTGCAATCATATTAAAGATCCAAAAGCCAAAATCCCAAGGCGGCACAATCACGTTTACAAGTTTAAATGGAAGAAGAACGTACTTAGCTTATGCAAAGATGAGTCGAATATATCTCCAGTCATGGGAATTCGAAAAGAATGCAAACGGTACACTGCCCTATGTTGTCATTAAAAAATTTCGGTTATTTTATCATTTTTATATAATGAAATCTGATATCAGAATTAAATTGCAAGGCATAAGCATTAACATGCAAAATGTCACAACAGACACCGAACGCCGAACACCATCCACAAAAAAGTTGGAGACAAGGATATGTGATGTGGTGATGACATAACAAAATGCGACATTATCTTTATTGCAGACTCATGGAATGTTCATTGAACGATATCCGCAAACATGTTGACAGTCTACAATCACTTTATTCGATATTATATGATGGAAATGATATCATACCTGCATGTATAGAAAAGTACCACGTTCACGCAATTAAATTCTCATAATAGAAATGATACATGGATTGTACATATAACATATGATAGATGTATTGGCATGCTTATCAATTATACTAGACATGTATAACTCAACTACAGTGAAACATGTATATCCAAATATCTCTCAATTTGAACACTTTTTTGTTCAAAAGTTCTTATCTCCCATTGACTTACATGTTTATAAAGCCTTGATATGTGAACACCTGCTAATCTGAACACTTAGTCGGTTCAAGAGGCGTTCGGATTAAACAGGTTTTACAGTATAACAATGTCCTACACAGACTCGCACATCGTGAATTAATGCTGATAAAATAAAGGCCGACGAATTGTTGGAACGATCCACAAGATTCCACATTTTCAATACACTGCTCAACAGCAAGATGGAGGTAAGTGCAGTTAGCATCATCCAAAATGGCGGACAAGATGTTCTCGATACTGTTAAGGCCTTTGAGGCAGTTTACTAGATACATATAAAACATTTCTCGGAATTAACCTATATCTCACGTAAGATGCACAAAACTCGCTAGAACAAAAATTAAAAACAGAACAAAATAAAATTATTTTTCATATTTCATTTTTTTTATTATTTTTTTTAACAGATACAAATGTAATGTGAAATTATAATACAAATGGGAAATTCTTAGAAAATATTAATTAGTAATGACATGTTTTAGCATTTCTTTTCACTTATTTATTTCTTCCAACATTTAGAGGTAACCTTATAAATCTCATATCTAAAAACCCGTTCATTGACAATATTGACAGTCAATAGATGGCGCAGTATTCAGTGAGTTTAACTGTATACATTGACATATCAATCATAAAATCTTTCAAAAATCTTTCACAAATGTTACATTTTTATTACTTTATACATCTTAGACCTTCACAACTTTGAATTCTGATATGTGCAGAACAACCCACTGGTAAAAAGTGCCATCTATCGGAGTCCTGAATTACAATGAATAAGTCACTGGGCGCCTTACACTGTAATTAGTTCTCTTTCGACTATCCAGAAAATATTATTTCTTCTGGAGATATTTCTTATTATACACTTCTTGGACACTAACAGTGTGTACAAGTGGCTCAATAATGTTGTTTGCTCAAGAAATATATCCTATGAACGAACTACTCTACACACTATATATTCATATGTACTTCAGCACCTTTTTGTTAATGGTAAAATCATCACCATTTTCACCATCAGTTACTCAATTAGTAATAGTAAAAAGTTGAAGAATTATTCAGTCTAACGCATAATTTTAATAAAACAAGACGCACGAGTAACATACCGAGTCGTCACACTCTGCAGGATACAATCAGTATTGTTATCAAGTCACGCTTCACTATTTACAAATCTCCATTTTCGGGGTTAAAATCAACAAGTGACTGTTTAACTACATGCAACATATTTTCGCAGAAAGATGAACACATTTATGCATAAACTATACATCATTTAGCTTCCTGCACCAAGCGATATACATATTGCAATTGTATTTACAAAAATATATACAAGTTCATTCATTTCATTTACACAATAATGCATTTGTTAAAAAGCTACTAAAAAGGTACTGAAGAAATAATCCAATGTTTTTAAAGAATCATTGGAGGCATTGATCAATCTAAACGCAAATATTTATAACATTATCAAGACGATTTAAAATAAAAGTACAAAACTTCACAATTACCTCACAATACAATATGCTATATTACAGCATATAATAAAGTACCAATTATATTGAAAGGAACCATTTCATACAAAGATGATGAAAACAGTATGACGGCATTCCCTCTACGAAGCTAGTTAACACTTTATAAAAGCATTCATACATTTATTAAGCCTATAAGTTGATAACGCTCAATCTATCTTAATCATCGCCAATCTCATCACGCTAGATGGCTGTGAAATTCCTCTGATGAGAAGCTCTCAAGAATGATTAAGTTTTGGCAGATACATTCTTAAAGTGATTAAGTTATAAGGTTTTTATCAAGTATGTCTTTAAGTAGGTCGACTGTTATTTAAGAAGGTTGAATGATGTACAGTAAAATCTGTCAAAGTGGAACACCTTTGGTACCTCTATAAAGTGTTCCACTTGGGAGGTGTTCCACTTATAGAGGTTCATTTAACATTAAGTCAGTTGGTCTTGAGACTCTGACAAGTGTTCCACTCACAGAGGTGTTCTACTTCTAGAGGTGTTCCATTTTACAGGTTTCACTGTATGTGAATAACATACCAATAAAATATTATTACAAATATAAACTATACCTTATAGGGTAACATTTTTAGCCACATATATGTTCTGTTTTAATAAAATACACGAAACCAGTAATTCACCTGGTCATATTGTTTTATCAGATCTTGGAAGTGTATATAATATTCGCTGATATGAATTCTCATGGTGATGATGTTATATGTTAATATCATAATGTAAATATAAAATGTTATTGAACCAAATGAAAGTTTGATGAGTTTTCAATTTAGATGAATCCACATTTACAATTTTAATGAACTTTTCTACTGAAAGAACATCTAATGTTCACCTCAGGCTATATATAAATAAGCAATGTAAATCAAAATATCAGATTCATACAAAAAGTACAATGGGCTTACTAAAATGTATGCTTTCGAAAAGAATATACAGCTAAAGCATAATTTATATAAATACATGTAGAATTAAAGTAATAAAAAGTATATAATACACATATACAGTGTATGTGTAATGCTTAATTTCACAACCGTTATGTGGGAATGTATAAATGTATATATAGCTTATATGTACAAGACACTCCAAAGAAGATTGGCAGCCATTATTCAAACGCGATACTCCGTCCGTTGCCTGCAGTGGAACAATTTAGTAAAAAATTCCTATAAGGTTCTCATCAGATCAAGTATTTCGTTGAAAGATATTACCAATTACCAATATTATGGTAGTATTCAAGCTAAATTTCGCTAATTTCACTAAGTACCTACTACTATGTCATCTTGGTCAACGTCACGCTGCACTTTAACCTCTGTTACATCGTAATATTTTGGTTTATTTGATCTAATAAGCCACTGTAACAGACATTGTTACTTACTTTCCCCTTTGTCGCCAAAAAACATTTGATAAAAATTTGGCAAAACATGAAATGCAATGGCATCCAAGGTTATAAAAATTTCACAAATCGCCAGGGATTTAATTGACAATTTCGTGAAGATTAATCTTCGCGATTTTACCACAATCATAAAAAGTGGGAAACTAAATCACATACGAAAAATACCGGGGGTACAGTATCGAGTTTGAATAATGGCTTCCAGTCCTCCTTGAGACACTCCAACTAATCTGTATGTTTCAATATGAATGAATGCAATCAGAATCAATACATATTTCAATACAAATGTGTTGATTGAGAATAGGAAAATACTAAGTTGGGGGTCATTAACAGAAACTTTGTAAAGTTAGGAATTTGCAAATCAATTGTTGTTACCATGGATATAATGAAATCACAGTTAGAGAAATGGACCTTACGAATTCTTAACTTTACGAAGTTTCTCAGTGTTAATGGCCCGCTGAATATGTAATCAGATCTATATTGATAACATATAATCTCACAATGTAATAATATCATAGGCTGCATCGTCAACTTTAATGTTGCTGAGGTTCAGAGGCAGTCATAGTTCAATAGCACACTTTACCACATTATAGAGAAGTTTCGCAAAATGGGATATATTTTAATTTAAAATAGGAAAATTCTAAGTTGAATTTGTGCTCAGATATATATTGACAACATATAATCTCACAATGTAATAAACGTATAATGGGCTGCATCATTGGGGGTGATTTCAACTAAAGTGTTGCAGTCTCAGAGGCAGTCATATCAGCACACCTTACCACATTATAGAGAAGTTTCGCAAAATGGGTTATAGCTATAACTCCATCTCGTTTTAACTGAACTGCTACGGATAAATCTGGTGGATATGTTACACATTTTAGAAACATTGGGCTAAAAACAGTGTCCGAAACCTCTCTAACAGCAGCGCAATCCACACTGCTTTACATCTCTTCATAAACAAACTTATCTGACCAACCCATATAATAATACATAACAAAAATGTAGATCAGATCTCTAAGGTTGTACTCATATCAGGCTCGCATATCGGAGAAAAAGTTGATATGAAAGAGACATGGTAAAGCGTTCATTTTAGTGAGAATTATTGATACAAAAATATTTTGTAAGAATGTGAAGCATTCGAATGATAGGATGTGCTGTTATGAGGTACATTGACATCTACATTGACCTACTTCTTAATACTATGACAACTTGATACTCGATACTCCTGACTCTTGGGCTATGTATTACACAGGTAGTATCCACCTGCTGATTATAATGTGAGGAATGTGAGCAGCTCACAGTATATTCAGGGCAGTGATCTCCAAAGGTTTAAGGCAAGTGGCAAGCAATCATGAAAAACAGGCATATTTTCGACCACATTTGGTTTAAATTGTGAAATAATGAATTTTGCACCCACTTGAGAAAAAATCCTGGGGAGAACACTGCAGGGGGTGGATACTAACTATATACAGATCTACAATTATATTGCATTTAGTAAAATATCATACAGCATAAAAAAATAAATCCTGAATATTTCCCATGGAAATGTATAGACAGTTAGGAATGTTTAACCCCCATATTGCCATTATAGGCACTAAGATTGATATATTAACCCCCATGCTGCCAGAATCGACAGCAAGACCGTCAAAATGGAGCTAATTGTATAAGAGGCCCCTGAAACTCTCATCAAGTCCTGTGGTTCAAATAACAATGGATCTACGATGTGTACCACCCCATTCAATACTCCTATATCTGCATGGACTATCCTTGCCACTGCATTGCCAAACCTCACCTGGTAGACTGAAAGTAGAGAAAGAGAAACCATTTACTTAACTTGAACTTTCGAACTTTTTTGTACCAAATATAGTTCATTTCAATCATAAATAATAACAAATGTACATACTTAGAATTTATTAGAATTCATACTGTATTATGATGCATATACACATTACAGTAGAACCTTATCAAGGGAACAGCTTTCTGTGCTCTGTGAGAAACAGTTTTCAAAAAAACCAAATATCGTTCCATTGATGTTCCTGTCTAAAATGCACATATAACAAACTATAAGTAAACACAAAAGAACAAAGGGCAACATCAATGGGTTGCTGAGTCTAACATTATCACATGTTTAAATTATGACCATATACAGGGTGTTTCATATGTATGCACCCCCTCTGATTTTACATATGAAACACCCTGTATTGCTCATTACTTTTAATGGTAGCAAACAAAATACAAAATGGACAGTACAGTAACAAAACTAGGATGAGGGTGATGACTCATTTTTTCTTTTTTAATTAATTAATAAAAAATCCTTAGTGACTCCCCTGAGACACTGCTGGTGCTACTTTTATCCTAAATAGAACGTCACCAAATTATAAAAGCATAACACATCTGTCATGGGAAATAAGAACTAAGTAAGAAATACTATAGGTTTGTGATGGTATTGTTTAAAGCCAATGTAGCATACATGATCTCTCAACATCCTCAATAGGGTTCTTTGTTGTGGTCATATGGAGCATGATCCCTTTCATGCAACTCAAGATACAATCTCATGTAAAACATGCAACTTCAATTTCATACTTTAAGATGTGGCGTGAGGAAGTATAAAAGCTTTAAAGTGTTAGTATGGGAAACTTGAAACTTGAAACTTAAAGTTGTACTCCATCTGAAGATACTATTGTATGTAAGAACTTAAATGAATGTTGAAAAAAAACTTGTATACCTGATATGTCATCACTTAAAGCATATATTCCGAGAGATTTCACAGCTATTTTTGTGATAAGCCATTATAACATGACATCACCTGGAGATTTCACAGCTATTATTGTGATAAGTCATTATAACATGATATCACCTGGAGATTTCACAGCTATTATTGTGATAAGTCATTATAACATGACATCACCTGGAGATTTCACAGCTATTTTTGTGATAAGTCATTATGTATAACATGACATCACCTGGAGATTTCACAGCTATTATTGTGATAAGTCATTATAACTTGACATCACCTGGAGATTTCACAGCTATTATTGTGATAAGTCATCATAACATGACATCACCTGGTTGATATTACCATTTGTAACCGTTTGTCACAGATAATGTAATGGTGCATGTAACCATTTATCACAGATGAAATATTCATTAAACAATATGTCACCACTTTTCTGTGGTCAAACATCTAACAATTTAATTGTAAAACATAAAGCATGCATTTTTCATGATGTGTCTGAATATTTTAATAGAAGTGTCACGGGTCAGAATATTTCAGGTCGGGTCGGCCAGAAAAATGTGTGCGGGTCGGATAATTTTGGGTTGGGTCAGAAGAAAACAGAAAAAAGAATTTGACTTGCTGTTTAAGCCTGCATTATTGCATATTATGCTCTGATTAAAAGGGAAAATGATAGAAACTTAGCATTAAATCATTTGGAAGTTGTTCGTGACCTGACTCGAGCCTTGCGACCCAGGTCGGCTTGACACCTCTATATTTCAACAATAATGTATAACTCGAAACAGTCCACATTGTCACTTTAAATTGTTCGGAGAACGATTCCAGTTATTACTAATTTCATCTCATACAGATTGGTGATTATACACTTAAGAAATTGAATTAGAATCTATATTGAGATTAAAGTTAACACTATACTTTGACATTTACAACTCATTCAGAAATCAGAATTGAAAATGATTAGTGGAACTGTAATATATCTATAATCCCCTGACTAAATAATTGCTATACTGCATATAAACCATACCATAATTTGGAAACTTGTGGGTGATTATTTCTTAATTAGAAACCCTAAAACAAAAGAATTTAATTTGGAACAGAATTGATTCTACAGTTTAAGTGACACTTGTTTTTTAGATATACTGTATTTAGTAAATAGATATCTTGTTTAGGTACCTCTATAAACTGCTATAAAGCAAATCTTAAATGAAGGCCTGAAAAGTGATAATTTGACTAAAACTTCAAATGTTAATGCATCTCTCTAAGGCACCACTCTAAATCAATCTGTTTTTGGTTTTGACTCATGTCAGATGTGAAAACAGCCTACCCAAGAGGTATTGCTCACTTTCATTGGTGTTAAACAAGATACAATACAATACAATACAATAAATACAATACAATACAATATATAGGTCAACCAATGTAGGTCTGTTCATACCAATACATTGTAAATCTCATCTTCCATCTAAAACTATGACTCAAATACACATTAACCCTATACGAGGACTCAAAAATATGTGTTAATGCTTAAAACACTTTAAGAAAGACTGAAAATTAGCCAAGAATAATTTGATTAATCAAAAAGACAATATACGCAGTTGATAATCTAAAAATCAGCATTACACATTTTCTCGACTAATAACTTCAGTAATATGAGCTGTACTGGAGTAATAAATGAGCAAATCATGTAATTACATTACTAATTTAATACACAGTAATGAATTTAGATGAGAAATGTAAATTAAGACACCTACACATCCACTGATGGGAAAACAATTTTTATTTATTTCTAAAATACACACAACTTGAGCGTTTGTGTGTGCGTACTGTATTTTTGGAACATGAAAAAGGATTTCATTTTGTGTTTTCAACATTAAAGAAAAAACCTCCGACTTTTTTCATATATTGCTTTCCTGTCTGTAAAGAAAAATTTGTGCCATTTTCCTTTTAGTTGAGGGATGAAAATTAATGGAATTAGCAAGGCATAGTAGTACAACACACATTCTTCACTATTTACAATGCAAGAAGGTTAGGCAATTTCTTAAAGCAAAAAAGAACAAGGGGGTGCTTTAAAAAACCAAGTATGGTCTCTATGAATTTTTAATGTTAATATTATATAAGAAGAGATTAAGGCATGTCTCCATGTATTAAATCAGACATCAAAGGACCAGTTATGCTAAGTTTAACCAAGCAGGAAAACAAATTAATCAATCAAGTAGGCAGTGTCAGGACTAATAAAGAAACAAGCCCTTTGCCAGGGGACCTAATTTCCCAGAGGAGAGGTACTATATTGGTGTTTTTGGAGGGGGGGGGGCAGAACTATGAATCAAATTAATAAGAATTAGATCACAATTGGTACATATTTTACAAAATTTCTGGCAAAACTGGCAAGAGTCCCTCATTAAGAATTAAGAGTCCTTTACCCTCTTCTAAAAAGTTAGAGCCCCTGGATGATATCTGGCTATGAGCCTGGAGTACAATATTCTACTAAGAGGCAACTAAACATGCTTAAAGACTATAGCAGAGATAAAGTGGTGAAACGGAGATATTACTCACAATTGTCGGTACCATAAGCTGAAGTGAACAAACAAAAACCAGAATGAATAACTTTGCAATAAAATCTTGAAAATTAACAGTAAGCATTCAATACCAAAACACAGGCCTCCTGGACTTCCACCAACGCGAACATCAGTTCTGACCTCTTTGCACTCGAACCACAATTCACACAAAGCAAATGTGAAATCTTTAGTCACGCACCCCCATTTCACAATGTACAAGTGGTTCGAGAGCAAGTGGTGCGCGACTAAAGAGTTCACGTTTGTGATGTGAGAATCGTGGTTCGAGAGCAGGGAACGTGGTTTGCGAGGGCAGAACTGATGTTCGCGTTGATGGAAGTCTAGGAGGCCTGAAACATACCCATTAAGGATCAATGCATATAAAATACCCAGCCAGTGTTGTAAAAAGTGAAAATGGCGGGAAATTCAGTAACATGGGCATTAAGGAAAAAATGTATTCTATGACCAATTATTTCGTAATCTATTCACAAAGAATGGTACCCCATATACGAGTATAAAACTATCATAAATTGGAAAGTCAAAATAGCTTTAGTAAAAATGTAACAGCCAAAGATGTACCATAATCCTAATAAAAATTATAATGTAAGTTAAAATATCCAAGGAGCTAATAAATGCTTGTAACTCTCCTCTAGTGTGTCAATTAAAGATTGCATAGATGGCAGCAGCATACAGCTGTTTAATAAGAGAGGAAAGCAATCCCACAATTCTAGTTTGCCAAACATGTCGCTATTATGACACATTTGTCGCTATTATGACACATTTGTCACTAAATAGGTTATCAACCCTATCATATCTACCCCTTTTGGTTAATGTGTTAATTCACAAGCCAATTAACATTAAGGGAAACACAGAAGGTCTATGTGGGGCTATTCTTGGTTGAAGCATAAAACCATGGGAGAACCTTCCTCCTTTGGACGCCACGCAACACTCAATAATTCCAAGAAGGTTACTAGTGTATTATACAGCCTACAAGTCTACTATACGGCCTCATAATGGAAGATATTGAGTGAAACATTAACTAAATAACAGAGACTTTGGTTTTCAAATGCTGGACATAGTGAGACAGTCACGAGAGAGTTCCCATAACTTGAACCAAAGTTCCCGTAACTTGAACCAAAGTTTCCATAACTTGAACCAATGTCTCTATTGCACAAATATGTTAACTATAAATTGTAACGCAATCATAGTGGGCATGCTATTCTACACATTCACAAAGATGGACTTGGAAATTGACAAGGGGGAGGGAGTTTTTGAAACTTGGGCCCATTTTTCAAAAATTGAGGATTGAACTCCCTGATTTTTTCTGAAAATTGTCCCTTCCACTATCTTCTTCATTCTATTTTGCATTTTAAATATGACCACTATGATTTTACAGTACAGCACATGGAACATCATATGGAATGATAGTATGCATCTACTTACTTTCCCCACGTTTGTAGACAGTAATCTGCTCCCCTGACATTGTGTATAGCTTGCTGTCACCCTGGGGTAGGTTGTCTAAATATACAGCTGGATTTTCTACAACCAACCTCTCAAGGACCTACAAATAAATGGCTATGTTTAGACAATGGTCCCCTGATTTGTGTATAGCTTGCTGTCACCCTGGGGTAGGTTGTCTAAATATACAGCTGGATTTTCTAGAACTAACCTCTCAAGGACCTACAAATAAATGGCTATGTTTAGACAATGGTCCCCTGATTTGTGTATAGCTTGCTGTCACCCTGGGGTAGGTTGTCTAAATATACAGCTGGATTTTCTTCAACTAACCTCTCAAGGACCTACAAATAAATGGCTATGTTTAGACAATGGTCCCCTGACTTTGTGTATAGCTTGCTGTCACCTTGGGGTAGGTTGTCTAAATATACAGCTGGATTTTCTACAACCAACCGTCTCAAGGACCTACAAATAAATGGCTATGTTTAGACAATGGTCCCCTGACTTTGTGTAAAGCTTGCTGTCACCCTGGGGTGGGTTGTCTAAATATACAGCTGGATTTTCTACAACCTATTAATGGCTTCTTTTTCATAAAGAAAAATGTATGAATTCAACAGGTCCTACATTCAAACACAACAAAATATTAAAATGGTATTGAGAAAATGAAGAGATATCACGTTTTGTAACACTTTCTGATATCAGCCTTGTGGATCTATAAAATCTAAGCACATGTACACAACACTTACATAATTAAGTTGGGCTCTTTTGCGATTGTCCAGCAAGAGCTGCTGGGCTGCTCTCTGTTGATAGGTGAGTTCTTGTGTCTGATCCTTCTGGCCAAACTGTTCATTGGTCTGTCGGTTGTTAAGGTCATCCAGTTCCTGTTGTCTGTCATCTACAAGTTGGCCTTCATTGTCACGGTTATTATAAGGGTCTTGGTTGAAGGGATCGGTGTTCCACTGAGCGTTATAGTTGTTAGAGCTTTCTTCATCTTGTCCAGTTAGCCTAGAATATTTTAAACAAATCATATTGTGCATCGCATTTAATCACATTTAATTTGCTTCTCTAAATGTCAGTTTCCTTTCATGTGTTAGAAGTCTATTCAGAATATCTTTCTCTATTTATTTTATAAGCCTGGTCTAGAGTAGACGCTAATTAAAGGTGCAACAAGGACAAATTTTTTTAATTTTTTCTGAGCTATCAGGTCAATATGTGGCTTAACATATTCTTTGACATACCTATTTTCTTAAAATGTATGGATAAACTCTCAATTTCAGCATTAAGAAGTGTAAATTCAGTTCAAAGCTTCTATAAAGGGAGTCCCACTTATAGATTTTTAAGATTCACCACGTTTCAAGAGGAATATCAGCTGAAATAATGTTCATCCAGGGGGTTTCTTTGTAGATTATAAAAATATATGTTAGTCTTGATGAAATATCCAAACTTAAACATATTTTGACACTGGTCGATGATCGTTGAATGGCCCCCCTGCACTAATTGTTGCACCTTTAATATAACTGTAAAATATATATGACAGTGAATGGAACAAGGTTCATGAATACAAGAACTAATGCGGGATAAGCTGCAGTACAATGTCGTTTTCTATATCGACTTTGGGAAGCTATGGTCACCATAGACCAAATGTAACTGAGGCTTTGATGTCAATAATACTTACGCCCCAGTTCCTGTAGCTTGTCGACTCTTTCCATAATCAGCACATACTTCCTCTTCATATCTAAGACATGTCAAGTTAAGAATGCGCTCAAAGGCAGTATTGTTTGGAGCGAATATGGTAAACCTTCTGTTGGTGTCTCCCAAAATTTCTAATAGGTTGAATTTGTTGGGGTCTTTCTCCTGAAGCAGCTTCAACTCTTCATGTAGCAGACTAGATAAATGGAATAAGGAAATGATTAATGGAAAATATGTGTACTCCTGTACTTTTTAAACCTAACAACATTATATAAAACTAGGCATTAACATGGAAATTGTCACCACCTGTCATTTGTTACAGATGCTAAATGCCAAACACTGTCCACAAAAAAACAGTTTGAGACCATAACAATACGTCATAACTAAAAATTGGTGGTTAATAGCTGAGAACTTAAAACAATGAAAATAAAGATCCAAATGTTGAAGTCACAGAATCATGTTAATACCATTTTTATATACCTACATGTAACATAATATAAGTGTTTTCTTTTATATGTAGTCTAGATGTCATTTTAATGATTTCTGTTAAACCGCAACATATACCCACTAGGGTGTCTAGCGGCTTGTTTTTATAGTGTATATTATATAAGAATTATGAAATAAATAATTTAATTGAATATTATAAAAAAAAAATATATATATATGTTAGACTTAGTCCATTATGTAGACTATAGACAATTAAATTAAATCCAGATTGAATCATCTTGAGGCAACTACAGTAATACATATTTCTGAAACTTACTTCAATCTTGGGTTTTGCTCTATTTCCTGTTTAGCAGTCCTGTATGGGAAACCCAGAACCGTATCTATGTAGTGAATATAGCCATTACTGGTTCCTATGTCCATCTTGCTCTCTATGATCTTGGCAGTCTGGTGGCCACCATCAATGTATGTATCTGTATTAATAAAAGTACAAATTGAATGTGTTATTGTCAACATCACGTTTACCAAAAAATTCTGAAGAACGTTAAGGTTTAATGTGCTGGGATCTACTTTAATTTTTAGAAATGCATGGCACCATGTAAATCTATACCTGGAGAAAATTAAGACACACCAGGAAAGTATGAGACACACACTGATTTAAACAAATTATTACTGGCATTACAAATGGTTTTCAAAAATGTCACCAAAATACTGTTAGTCTTCGTAAATTTTTTATATCTTTTTTACATACAAGAAAAAATAATAATCAATATCATCTAATGAAGAGATTTTAATTTTTTAGTTATATTTATATGAGAATGTTTATAATACAACCAATTGAATCTTATGCAATTCACATATAATCCTCAAAGGCAATCACATCTTAATTATAAGCATACATATGATATCTCACCATTTTCAAAATGCCTAAACCGCAGCACATATCCAGCCTGGGATCTCGCAGTAGTTTCATCCAGTCGTATTTCCCTACTGGTCAATCTTACACCTTCCACAATGTGAAGTTTCAACATCTACAAATAATATTGAATGTCAAATTTTTGGAAGCTACGGCTGCAGTACAGTTAGCGTTGATCAAATATGAATGAGTCATTAATATGCTTCACATCAAATAACACTCACATATTCTAATGCTGTCCTGTTGGTCTCAAAGTTTGCTACGCGTACCCTGTACCTATCATTATCAGTTATAGCTGTACTGCCCTGCTCACTGGCCGCTGTACGAAGTTTTTCAAATGCAGCTGGTGTAGGTACGAACGTTGTCACAACTCTGTTAAGATCATTAAGTTCATCTTTAATCCTCTCATCTTTGGCTAAGAGCTGGCTGAACTCGCTAAAGAGAAAGAACAATATTTTTACGATTTTATAATTTTTTGTTCTGTCTTTAATTCTCTACATGTATTTTCATTGGGAAACATATCTTTGTCCTTGTTATTATAAGAAATCTTTTTGAAACCTTAATTTAAAATAAACAGCCAAATGCCAAAGTGATTCCACTTTTCATAAAATTCCAGGGGGGTTCCCAAAAGAACTTGAAAAGTGCTTGGAATGTTGAAAAAATCCCAAAACCCCTAAAATGAACCCCCCCCCTCCCATCCAAGCATTTTACATACCTTCCCTCTGGTTCTTGATTAAGGACCAATGATGATGTGTAGTCCTCTGGTATATACCACATGTATTTGTCTATGATATGCACTACACCATTCATGACTGTAATGTTGCCCTTGATGATTTTGGCCAGGCCATTTCTATTGCTAACATAGGCTGCAATGTTAAAAATATTTGTCACATTTTGTGGGTGAGTCTGTGGGTGGTATACTTGATAATTTAATTCACATAATTCTGTAATAGTTATCACATAATTCTGTAATAGTAATGCTGTATTACAACATGACTTGTTCATTTTCAACATAATTATGAAAAATTAAGTTAATGTTAAAATAATGCATGATGAGAAAGATTTTCATATTTATTTACTTTATGTAATAACAATAATGGTTAATGCAAATGGATTACAGTGGACAGCCTCATTTAATAACTGGATTTGGGGTATTTTTCTAATACTCAACCATAAGATGACCTACTGTCAAATATATTCTGGTCCCTGTTGTAGATCTGTCGGAATGTGATCTGATCGCCAGTTTTCATAGTTTCAATTTCTTCCATATCCCTCATCATAGATGAGTAGTAAACTTTGTGAGGAATTATATGTGCCATGAGGGACTAAAATAAAACAAAAAATGTAATGTGCAGATATTATTTCATAAAGTGACAAGGATTATACATAAGCATACAACTAAATATACTGTAGATAACTTAATTTGGCTACCGTTTTAATTTGACAGATTGGCAGATTGAAAAAATCCGCCAAAATTAAAAATCCACCAATTTCAGATCTATTTTGGAAAATCCCCAGAGAATTTGTAATTTGCAATTAATTCACTTGTGGAAGTATTCTTATTTGCTTTTATGTTAGTCTCAGGTGCTATAAAAAGTCAGTCATATAATATATATATGTCATATAATGTAGTCTAGCATTTAGTTAACAGTGTAGTATTGTCTCGAGTCAAGACAGCCTAGTTTGTACATAGACTAATGTGTCATTAGGTAGTAAGCTAGCACCCAAAAATGTATTAGTTCGTGAACAAATTGAAATTACTTGTATCTTATGTATTTTTATGTGATGCTTCAGAAAATGTTTGTCTGACGCGCCATATCCGGGGCGAAAATTGTCAAAATGGGGTTTTCGACCCCAAAATGGAAAATTACAGGGGGTACTTTATCATCATTGAATAAATCATTCTGTTAGTCTTCAATCATCATAATAATATTATGGGGAGTTGATTGGATCATGCTGAGGTAGTATGTAAAATTTCAATGCTCTGTCACTCATGGTTGTCATGGAAACCACAATTTTCGTTCAAAATATCCTTAATTTTGCAAAACCTGAACATGTACATCATGTAGAATATAGATTATTTTTTGAATCAATACATATCAGCACATTTTAGCACACTCAAAATAACCAGTACAGTTCAAACATTTGTTTAAATATAAAGGATATTGCAATTTACATGATTGGTCAGTGTCAAAGAACATACAATAACATGAGTGATCAAAAGTGGGCGTAGCCCCCATAATAGTAGATGATTGCTATACTTGATAAAAACAGAGTTTAACTTGACCTTTGAGATACATTACACTGGTCTTATTTGATTATATTTTATATAAAGCATTTCTGGTAAATAATGTACATCTAAGTGTCATAGTTATTGCATGGGGGGGGGTACAGAGGGGGGCTAGTAAAAGAATTGGGAGGAGGCAGAGCTAATCAGCCTTAAGTATAAATCCCATCTACATATATCTGGATTTCATGGGGTACATCTTCTGGATCTTCTTCATATTCATCTCAATATATGGGATATTACAACGTACATGATGATTGGTCAGTGTCAAAGAACATACAATTACACAAGTAATCAAAAGTGGGCGTCGTCCCCATACTAGAGTAGATGATTACTATTCTCTATACAGAGTTAAACTTGACTTGAGATACATTTACACTGGACTTCTTTGATCATAACTTTATATTTTTGGGTAAATAATGTACAACTCAGTGCAATAGTTATTGCATGAGGAGGGGTGGGGGTAAGTAACAGAATCGGGCGGGGGCAAAGTTAATCAGCCTTAAGTATAAATCCTATCTTTTGGACGTCATCATAGAGTATTTACTGGGTCTTCTTAGTTATCTCAATATACTGTATATAGTTATTGAATGGGAGGGGGGTAGTAACAGAATTCGGAGGGGTGGGGGAACAAGTCAGCATTAAATATCAATTTCATCTTCACAGTTCTGGATTTCATAAGATACATCTTCTGGAGTCTTTCTGATTCATCATCTGATGCTATATCAACAATCATTTGTATGAGAATACCAGTCAATACCCAATGCAATGGTGGAGTCATTCAGTTTCCATCCATGTCCATCTTCTGCTGGAATGTCAGGGTTTACAATATGGGCCATATGCATGATAAGTGCTTTGTAGTAAGCTCTTGACAAGGTGGAAGAAGACTGATGTCGGTTCCTTCATAGTCTTTGATTGTTTTAGTATGGGGTCTAAACTTCTATTTCAATTGGTTTATCTGGTTTTGCTGGTGTAAGACATTGTGGCTTAACATAAATGTTTTTTTTATATTAATCAGTCTTCTTTTGTTTATCCAGCACTACACTTTGCTGTATTAGTTTTGTTTCTGGAGCTGGCAGATTATACATGTTTTTCAAGATACTTCTAACAGCAGAGTGATTATGTGACAAATAAATCCAAAATTCTATAAACGAACCTGATAGGAGAAGAAGAGGGCGATGGCACATCACCTTATCAAATGTAGAAATACACAAGTCCCTTAAGATTGGAATGAGTTCATGAATAAGGATGCAAACAAGAAGCAACTATACCAGTTACGCTTAATTGAATGATAAGACCAGAATATGCCAAGAAAAAATCTACTGTGTAGCAGGTCGGAAATGCCATATCCTTTCAAGTGATCATCATGATAAACCATGACATTTTATTTCTTCCCAGCCCTTCAGGTGAGACAGAAGGTGTCATAATATATACTGTAAATCTATGTACAATAGTGTCCCTTTAAGTCACGTGATCATATTAGTGACGTCATTGGTTAGTTCTGAAATAAATTACAGTTGTAGTTGAAGCGTTGTCTTGTTCTCATAAGTTCTCCCAGAATACTCGGCAGTTAAGACATGATGGCAGCGGAAACTAGTGGCATGGTCTATATGAAGCCTTAGAGACAGTGTGTAGACTACATTGAACTGTATAATTTATGTGTATATGGCGAAATCTGGGTGCAAAGATCGCAATCAGAACTCATTATTCAATATGGCAGCCCAGGTTCATCTCCATGTGGAATATTGCAAGTACACCCGCACTAGGAAGTGACGTAGTACTGAGCGCATGCGCATAGCAAGACAAAATATTATCACCCATACTCGGAAGTTTGCAGAACAGTATTTGGATTATATGTAACTTATTATACGACGATTATATCGGATTATATCTTCTCAAAAAGACACAATGGCTAAGTTTAGTCCCCCTGACAAGTTCGAATTTGACAAGCCGAATTCATGGTTGGACTGGAAGTCGAACTTCAAACGTTTTAGATTGGCAACTAAACTCCACAAAGAGGACGATGATGTCCAAGTTGCAGGATTGTTATATTCAATGGGCATGGAGGCCGATAAAATCTACAGAACATTTGATTTTCCTCCTGTTGTGGGTGAAGATGGTAATGAACTTCCAAATATTACTTTTGACATTGTTGTTGAAAAGTTTGACACCTATTTCATGCCTAAAATAAACATTTTTCATGAGGAACTTCTATTTGACCAACGTAGTCAAAATGAGGGTGAGTCGGTGGAAAGTTTCATACGAGATTTATATCATCTAGCCGATAAATGTGATTTCGATGATAAGGATCGCAGAATTAAAGTTCGCTTAGTAAATGGACTTGCTGATAAAAAGTTAGCCATGGAGCTACAAATGAAAACATTTACTTTGGAGCAGATTATTCAGAAAGCTCGTTATCACGAATTAATTAAGCAGCAAAACCAAGATGCTGAATTAGATTCTGTAGCCAGACAGAAGTCTAAGAAACCCGCATTCCGATTTCAAGGTGATAAATCAACTTGCACACGATGCAAAGGTGATCATAATAATGATAAATGTCCAGCTATCGGAAAAACCTGTTTCAAGTGTAACGGGAGAGATCACTTCAGCCGAGCCTGTCGCAGCAAGAAAGGCGTGTCTAAACCCAGAGGTCAAGAGCAGCCAAAAGCAGCCCGGAAAAAGGTACTGACTGAAGTAGTTCATAGTGAAATTAATGATGAACCATTAGTGCATGTTATTGACGAAGTGGACGTAAAATACAAAGAATACAATGATCACGAGAGATACATTGAACCATGGAGAGTTATGCTTCCATTAAATAAAAACTTGATTGACTTCAAAATAGACACCGGAGCGGATGTTACAGTGATTAGCTACTCAAAATATCTGCAGATGGAAAATGCTCCACCACTAATACCTACTGATTGTGAGCTTGGAAGTCCTGGTGGACGTCTTAAGGCTAAAGGCCAATTCCTAGCCAAGCTTAAAGACAATGTATATTTACGAGTGTATGTTGTCAATGAAAAAGTTGATAGTTTATTAAGTAGAAATGCATCAGTGAAACTTGGCTTGATTGAGTTGACAAATGTAAATGTACAGGAAATAAAATCGGAAAATGTACAATTAGGTAAAAATGAGAGTGTGAAAAATGTACAATCTGAAAAGGTACAATTGGGTAACGATGTGAAAAATCTCAAATTGCCTGTCAGTGATCATGTTGCAAATGATTTGTTTGGTAATGATGGCAAATATAAAGGTAAGCTTGTGGATATTCAACTCCAAGATAATGCAACTCCATACTCAGTCAACACTCCTCACAGGGTACCATATCCCTTATTAAATGATGTAAAACAGGAGTTAGACCTTATGGAGTCGGAGGGTAAGATCCGCAAGGTTACTGAGCCAACTGAATGGTGTAGCCCAATGATCCCTGTAAAAAGGAAACCTACTAAAGCTGGTAAAGCCAGAATAAGAATATGTGGTGATTATCGTAAACTCAATAAACAGATAAAACGAGAGAGATATACAATGCCAACTACTGATTCAGTTTTCAACAAGTTATCAGAGTGTACTGTTTTCAGCACATTAGATTTCAGTGGCTGTTTTCATCAGTTTTGTCTGTCTGAGAAAAGTCAATTGTTAACCACATTCATGACTCCTTTTGGTAGATATTGCTATACCCGTTTACCTAATGGTGTTTCCTTAGCGCCGGAAATATGTCAACGTGAAATGTCGAATTTGATCCGTGAGATACCGCAATGTGACGTTTTCATGGATGATGTCATAATTGGTGGGAAAAATGTCAATGATCATGATAGAATATTAGCTATGGTTCTTGAGAAAATTCATAGTGTTCAGATGAAACTCAACTTAGACAAATGTGTGTTTAGAAAATCTGAAGTTGGATTTGTGGGTCAAATCGTCGGAGAAAATGGTGTAAAACCCAATCCGGATCGTGTTGAAGGTATCCTAAAGATGGAGCCACCGGAAAATGTGGATGAGTTACGTACATTTTTAGGCGGAGTTAATTATCTTGGA